GAAGGTATTAAAACGTTTAAATCTGACATTTCTTACTTTTTAATTGCGCTAATGTTGCTGTATTGTAAGAATTTATCTTCACGTCCATCATTCATTTTTAATAACCATTTCTACCGTTAATTACCCATAACCTGCAATCTAATATATCTGCTGAACTTATAGGGAGTTAGCTACATTTACGGATTTCCTACAATAGGTTAAATAATGTCGCTAGATCTAGTAAGGTCGTACAACCTTGCCTATATGTGATCATAACTTACTTTCTCGTCAGTAACTTGAGCTATGTGGTGAACAATTGCCTCTTCAATTTGCTGATATTATTAATTTATATATTAACTAGTTTTTACCCGCGACTTCGTGCATGTGACTAGGATATGTTTATTAATTGGAATAAAAAGTAGCCTATGTTTATTTCCATCACTAATAGTATGTGTATACCAAATTTTGTAACGATTAATTAAGATATTTAAACGCCATCATCATCACTATCCTATCAGCCGTTGACTGTCCACTGCTGAACATAGGACTCCCTCATAAGGAAGATTTCGCTATTGGTTGCCACGCTTATTAAGACGCGAAGAGGTATAAAAAAAACAAACCAACTCTCTTTCACAATATTATAGTGTTATATATAATACAAGTAAGGATTTATAGTTGTAATTTACAATATAATATTACCTGAATACAATTAGTATTTTATATAAAATAATGGTTAATAAGTACTATCAAATATTTTATTACTATAAATTTGCATATACATTTATATTCAAATGTTATTCGCTGATTAACTAAATCTTCCGCTTTGGGTTCCTGATTACACTACTAATGTTTTTATGAACTGTTTTATGGCATAATTTTATATTATTAGCTATATCAATTATAATATATAAATTACAAAGTTAGTATGTATACTGATTGTAATAAAATCAGCGGACTCAAATTATTAATTTTTAAAACTGACTTTGTCGTTTTATCTAGTTTTTTAATAGGAAAATATTTGAACAAATTAGAATGAAATTTTATAAAATAAAACTTAAAAATGTGTTTAAAACTAGCTGGCCGCCTCATCTACATATGAGTATACTAATGAAAAAAAATGAGACCAAATCATTCCTTTATATTTCATTTTTACTAATATTTTTCAAACATTTTCTTTCATACAAACCTTCTTCTGAGAATTACAAACACAACAAAAAGGAATTCGCCAAATTGGTGCAACCGTGCATACATGCTAACATACATTCGGCAATTGTTTTTATTTATATAGATAGGTAAACAATTGAATATATTTATTAATTTCATATGTCATTGTACTATAACAAATATAACATTCTGGTTTAAATTATAGTTCTAGAGCTTGTATGCCATTACTAAAGGAGTGAATGGGTTGAAGTTTTCTTTCCAAATTATAAGTTTTATAAATTTTCAATTCAATTCAATTGTTAAATTTAATTGTTTCTGTGATATTGATAATTTATGGATGTGTGATATTTATATTGTAATATAAGTATGAGTCCAGTCCAGTTAGAGTAAACTTAGGAATTAACTTAATCCCTACCTATCTTCATGCTAAGTCATATACAGAAAGAACTTTGAGAGTTTTCGCTGTAACCACTTTGTATCTATAAGTCATTATATATGACGATGTATTTGTGTTATAACTTCGCTTTATTGTCTCAATAGTATTAAAATAAACTTAAATAGAGAAACACGAATTATATAAGTATAATTAATAAGATCGTTCACCAAAAAGTTAGACAATTCAAATGAAATGATTAGTAAAATAACTTTTTACAAAGCCTTTGCAAGGTAGCTCATATTTCAGTTAATAAAATACAAATTCCAAATGAAGTCAGGCTCTTGGTTTATGACTCATAAGTATGTATGTATTGCGTATTCAACTGGTTATTACAATGTTTACATGTGGTGGGAGGTGCCGGATTAAACCGTGGTCAAGTTCATATCAAGTTGTACTTCTTGACGTAGGCTGTTACTAATCAGTATAGTTCTAGTTTGTACCCTTATACACTAGTAGTAACCCGTGGCTTCGTCCGCATATTTTTACACTACAAAGGTGGCAAATAAGCATTCAGCCGTCACGTAGTAAACATACTGTAGCTTATGGACGTTTGAAATACATGGGCGTTGATCACTCTGAAGAAACCTTAATAGGCCATTTTTTATGACTATTATATTTTGTAGGGGACACCTCGGCAGAGAGCTTACTCTACAGAAATTCTCTGAAATAGCGTTAGAGCGGACACTTAGGTTCTAGTATGAGAGGATGAATTTCACTATCGAAATAAATTTTAATCAAAGATGTAATATGATTATTTGATAACATATCTATCCATATATGGTCATTGTTTTCTTACTGGGATTACTTTTTGTAATTGTTTGTATCTATAATTATTTTACTATTGTAATCTTTTGGAAGAAACAATAAAGCGTATCTATTTATGTTCGCAAAACATAAATATCTAATTAATAAACCCCTCTGTTTCCATGCAACTTTGTATAAGAGAGGAGTCACATTGGAAGCTGATTTTGTATTTTTTTTTATACAACTTAGAATGCTGAACTGATGGAAAGTGGTAACCGTCGCCTATAAGAGAGCAGAGATATAACATTGTTTTGGATACCCCCAGCTTATTTGTGTATCTTGTGTCACCCACCTTTTACAATGCAAACAAAAATTGAAACACGAATGGGTGATATAATAATTTTTTGACGATTGTGTCATAAGTAAAAATTGCGTGACATAATTATTTGCAGCCACTATGGTGTTTTGCCTCTCTAAAATTATTCCTTGTAATTTTCACCTCTATATACCATCACTGCTGTGTGTGCCTCGGCATAGAATGGAATACCTCTTCCTTTCCCGTAGGTATCGTAAGAGGCGACTAAGGGAGGGCTAGGGACGGGCAGCAACGTCCCTCTTTAAATATTTATAAAATCCTGACTGTGGTTGCCAATCCGACTGCCAAGTGTAGTAACTACTGGCAAAACTCACCTTATGGGGATAAGCCTTCCAATCGTCCAGCAGTGGATAGTTAACGGCTGAAATAATAATAATAATCCCACTTTTCAAACCAAAACTCAGTTGCTTTTCGGCAGAGATATGAGTGGAATCGTGGTATCTAAGTAGATATTTGTATCTATAGTGTTCCTCTCACATAATATAAAAAAATTATAATATTCATAAAACATATGTGAAAACAGAAAAACATTGAAACCAAACCAAATAAACTGCAAATTTACCATTACGCTTGGTATCTAGTTACCGTAGTGTATTTGGCTTCCGACATTACATCATCATCATATCAGCCTTTAACAGTCTACTGCTAAACATAAGCGTCCCCCTTGGGGGGTTTTGGTAGTAGTTGCCACGCTTTGCAGGCATTTCGGTAACTGCAGTTAGGCTCTAGAGATGGTTTAAAAGGATCGCTGCTGCTTATCCCTCGCCCTTCCTTAGTTGGTTCTTACACCATCTACAGGAAACGAAGGAGTGGCCTATTCTATGACGAAGCATACGGCCAACATTCATCCCAACATTTAGATAAACGAATAGAAATGATATTGAGGAAAAGTATCACTCTCATATGGAAATATATTGAAATTCAATTAGTTATTTTCCTATGATAACGAACAAACAAACAAATTTTTGCTGTACATGTTTTTTTTATACTACTAAGGTGGCAAACAAGGATACGGCCCACCTGATGGTAAGCAGTTACTGTCTATGAACGCCAGCAATACTAGGGGTATTACACGCGCGTTGTCGACCCTGAAGAAATCTCTTTACATCCCTTTTGAAGACCACATGCTGTAGTCTTTTGGGAAAACCTCGGCAAGGAGCTCATTCCAATTTATTATTATAATAATCAGTAGTATTATTAAAGTTTTGCTACACTCACTGCACAGGGAGATAGTTGACGTCTTCCAGTAATGTAACGTCAATAGGTAATTATGTATTTGAAATTGGTATTTTGTTTGTCAATAGAAGTACCTATCGTAAATCCAATATGGTAAACAATCAGAAAACAAAACCAATTAGTAGTTGTCAACCTATTAAAACTTGTCTCTTAATTATTTACAGCTCATCTGAGAATAGGAAGTGCCATCAAAATACACATTAATAGTATTATAGATAATGTTGTATTACACAAGTATTGTACATCGATGTACCTAACCTGTTATAGATGTTTGTTTATTTCTTAATCCTAATACACACTGGCCGGTGTAATTAGTTTTAAAAAAAAGTAATTTTGCTTAAACAAAATGTTGGCAATAAGTAAAATGAGTGAACCAGTGTGTGAATTACTTATGTGATTTATATTTTTATTTTTTTTCTATTCTTTTTATATTATGAACCTAATTTATTAACCAAATGCGAAAGTTTAAAGAATGGATGAATGAATGTTTATTATTCTTTCATAAAAAAAATAATAAACGGAATTGATTGAAATTTGATACACTTCTAACTTGGTACATAGAATACTATATATGTAGTAATTCACGTGGACAAAGCCGAATGTCAACGCTAGATAAAAATAAATATAGTATGGGCATTTTTTGTCCGTTTCTTATCCATGAATATAAATGGTTATTCCATAATAAGATACCCTGAATCGGTGTTGATGGTGTGATTATTCGCGTCTCATCATACATGCATCAAATCTAATCATCTATTGAAATCGACACAAAAATGATTTACTTTTTTATATTAGCAAATTTTAAAACTTTGTAGTAAATATTTACTAGGAAAAAGTAGAAAAATATTTGAAAACCTTTTTGATAAGTAACCCTGGAAACGTACACAGTTCGGATAGTAAAGAGACGTGGGTTCGAACCCCATAAGATTAAGTAGTTGAAAAATATTTTTTCCATGTTATGAATAATTGAAGACTAAATTAAATAAAAGAACATCGTTAGTGTATTCTCAGCTTTATCAATCTACTTACAAAGATCTCGCTCAACGTGTCTGTACTTCGATTTGTATAAAAGATCGCTAGGAAAATGATGATCATCAGTCAGCAGTTACCTGTAGTGACGCTTATTCGTTAGACGGGATTCAAAATGCAGAAATTGGTACGTATTAAAAAAAAATATTTAATTCATAAACAAATTTTCGAAATGTACCAAAAACTATTAGTTGTATAGGTGTAGCTCATTAATAAATAAAAAACTAAAATTGCTAATTTTTTAGTAAAGGAAAATAGTCACGCGTTCTTACTATAGAGAGTATAACTATAATTAATTAAATAGAATGACGCTAAATGTTTATAATTACTCCTCTCCATCCAAAAGTTGCCTGGAAGAGATCGCTCTTAGCGATAAGGTCGCCCATTGTTTTCTCATTGTGATTATTTTTTTGTAATTATTTATATTTGTAATAAGTTTACTATTGTAATCTTTTGGAGGAAACAATAAAGAGTATCTATCTATCTATCTAAATCAGGTAGAATGTAAGTTGTAAAAGGGACTATAATATATGTGGAAAATATAAAATATTTATTTTATACAAAATTGTTGATTGTTAGATCAAAACTAAATAGATAATTAGAAGGTAAATTTATTCAAACAAGCTTTGTTGTGATTAAATATATTTAAACAGTATTTTACACTACATTATTCGCTTAAAGATGAATTACTAAAGTAAAATTTATATTATATACCATAAAGAATAAAAAAAAAAAAAAACTAAAAAACAATTTCTTTTTTTAATTATAATAAATTTATAAAATCATCTCTGAAAATTACTGACTACCTATTAAAAATGAGCGGTTAGGTTACATTCCGAAGATGAGATTTTAAAGATGACTGAGCGCAAATCCTATTTATCATATGAAATTGATTATAATAATTAATTGCAAATTAGGTTTACAAAAACACAATAGAAACTATTTTAACACCAGACAAAGAGTCCAGATTTCAGAAGAATGCATTTTATTTTTAATTACTTCTATTATTGTTACATTAGAATAATAAATCTTCTTTATCGATTTTAATATAAAAACGACCAATTGCGTGTATTGCATTTCTGTACCGAGAGTTCCGTATAAAATATAAATAAAAAACAAAATAAAAACTACAAATTTACAGTTCTCCGGATTTTTCCTTTATTTATGCTGTACGACTTTACTTTTTGTCAAATTTCATGATTTTAAGTCAACTGTAATTACCCTGTAGATTTTGTTTCCTTCCAAATGTCAAAATATACGCAATAAATGGTTGTATCTTTTGATTGCATTGGTTAAAAAGTTAGATTTTTTCACAGCTTAAAGAGGTTACAGTATTCGACATTAATTTTAACTTGATATCTCCATACATTCTTGAGAAAAATCTTAACAGACAGAGAGATAATAAAGTGATCCTATAATGGTTTCGTTTTTCTTTATGAAATACGGAATTCCAAAAATTACTTACGTTAAGTTAAACAAATAAGTATTGAGCTGAAATGAAAAGAAAAACAAGTAGAATTCTATGAGAGAATTCTTTTTAATAAGAATTAAATTATTAGGATCAGGTTTAAAATATTTGTTCCATAATAGAGTCCCAATTTAGTCTCGTATCCCGTTCCCAAAACACTGTTTGTAAAAAGTAATTACGAAATGGGTTCATTGACCGACCCAGAGACTAGTCTTTTGGGTTTATTACGTCGTTATTATAATAATGTTAATTTGGTATCAAAATAATCTAGTAAAAAGCCAGATGGTTATTTTACGAGTCGCCAATTTTAGTTTATTTAGTTGCCAAGCTTAATTTAACATAGTTTTGTACTTGTATTTTTTTTTTGTGTTTTGACTAAAACACCAGGTCAATGACATCTAGAAAAAACACCGGGACTGTAAACAAAATTTGTGTCTAGGTATTACTTGAAGACTTCATTACAGGTGGCTTTTATATTATGTGCCGATATTTTCTTAAATGGCAAAGTACAAAGTAAAAGAGCCATCGTACCGAAATATATCTGAGGTTCAATGGCGACATAAAATTGTTTGAATACATTCTCTAAACGGCTACTTATTTTTTTATGAGTAAAAATATATCTTTTTTACATGTTAATCCACTTTGATTTTACACAGCTGCTGTTTACGATTTTATTTGGTAGTAACATTAGAACAGTTGTGGTAATTGAAATAATACAAAATTGACACGTTTATATGAATATAATAAATAATTACTTATCGATATTATAAATGTAAAAGTAAATTTGTTTGTTTGTTACCTTTTGACATCGAAAATGCTTATCTAATCTTAGAAATTTGGTATACATGCATTAGTTAGAACAGTGAACGATATTGGCTACTTTTTATCTCGGTAAATGAATACATCTAAGTTATATGGTCGAAGTTGCGAGTAAAAGCTAGTGAATATACTCGTACATGGGGATAGGAGCGAGTTATATTGTGTAGTCTCTGTTTACTTCAAAGCTAAAAAGTCGTGACTTCATAATAAACATTAACCGTAATCAAAGTTTGTGTGTAATTATTTAACCTTTTTATTACTTAGTACACAGTAGTTGTACATATTTGGCTTTTATCTCAATATTTATCTTAACGATATTACGGTTGTAGTGGTGGAATGGGGTCTGCTCGAATAAAGACATTGTTTTATACCCTCACAGAACTCCTGAAATTAATTAGAGGACCCACAGTAATTTCTATTTGCGAAATAATGTAGATCTGATACGAAATAATTAGTAGTTAAAAGTGGTTTCATTTCAATTATTTTATGTACATTTTTATGTCACAAAATTATAACAATATTAAAATAAAATAAATATATATTAGATAATATATATACATAAACTAGCTGTTTCCCGTAGTTATCCGAGTAAATTATTATGTTAAGTTAGAATATAACTTATTCGTTTACCAAATTTAATAGGATTTGAAAATTTGTAAAGATAAATTGATGTTTATTACTGAAACAGATTCGAATGAAATTTGTCCATGCTTAGAGCCTATACATATTCTGAATTAATAGATACAGTATTTTTGTTTTAATTACCTGAGGTGTCTCTACTAATATTATAAAGAGGAAAGATTCGTTTGTTTGTTTGTAATGGATAAACTTAAAACCTATTAAAACGACTTTAAAAATTCTTTCACTTTTAGAAAACTACATTATCAGTGCGTAATATAGACGATGCAGGTGGCTCAGGACCATTTCTTATGGCAGTTTATGGGGGAGACCTATGTTTAGCAGTGGACAGAATGGCGGATGATGATGTTGAGCATAGACGATGATAGATGACGAGATAGTTAGAAATATTAAATGTTAATTCCTATATAAGGTGATTTAGGTACATAAAAGGAATTCAAAATTCAGTACAATATACTATTTATTTTGTTTCAGATTGTTTTGTTCGCTCTCGTAGCAGCATGCTTCGCTGCCCCTAAGCCTGGTGCGCTGTTGACATACCCCTCATCAGCCGTCATTTCACCAGTAGTTTCACCAGTTGCGAGTGTCTCCAGCTACTCGACCGGCATCGTCCATGGCTCCCCATTGCTGTCCCTTGCTCATCCACCACTTGTCCACCCTGTTCATCCAATCCACTCCAACATTGCTCATCCCGTTTTTATATAAATAATTTAACCCGCTAATATGTTACATCGGTGTATAGTCGTATTTTTTAAGAAGATTCAATGTTATGAATACAAGTAATTATTACATTTTCTTTGAAAACAATTATACACCATTAAATTGTATATAAAAAAGGTCGTTTATATGTTACTAGTTATATTGGTGAAATGGTTTATGGTGCCAATATTTTTATTCATGGAACATTTTACCATAATATTCTTTTTGATGAACCAGACAGTATATTATCACTCCGCAAAATTTTAATAAAACCTGTCCTATAGTTTTTGCACGGTCTTCTTATTTTTTTTTTCAATTATGTTTAAATTTTTTACTAAATTTATTCAAATGGATTAATTTTTAATTACTTGCTATTATATGTATATTGTAAGTTTATGCTTCCATTAATAGCGTAAATATCAATGGTTTCAAGTAATTGAGTACGGTAATACCCTCGAAGATTGAGTGAACAATATTGTTTGAAGTGTAATGCTAATCAAAATATTAATGAATTTGGTAGATGATAAGCAAATATAAACACATACGTACTTGTTACAAATACAACTGCAACATATTCAAAAGAAAAAAAATGAAGGACGTTTTTGTTATTAAAAGAGTGTTGTGATAACTTATTGTATATATAACAGGGTATAAATAAATACATTGCAGCAAAACGTATGATTTTATTTTTTCTATATCACTTTTCCTATTAATTTTGTCTTAATTAATACAATATTTTTATTATACTAGCGTTCACCCGTGACTTTTTCCAAATGACCGTGATATTATGTTTATTAACCAGGATAAAAAGCAGTGTATATCCTCTTCTGTCTCACATGGTACGTGTATGCCTAATTTCGTAGTGCATGGTTAAAGAACTTCAGAAACAACATGGTTTATGTAATCATAATTTTTAATGTATGATAATGGAATGGTACTCCATCTGCGCTATCGGTATACACTGACGGGGTACCAGGTTGATTGGTGAGAATGAAAAGACAGGTCAGTTAGCCCATCGTGATAATGATAAACACGATGGTTTGGGGGAATCGCAAAAAGATCGATCTGACAAGGTTAATGCTAGCAATGGGAAAGCTAGACCCTATTACTAACAATCTCTTCCGCCCTTATAATAGGTTAGCAAGTCTCCATCGGTACATCCGCATTCGCATTGTATATCTAATATTTTGTTAGCGTTTGATTTGACATTCATTCCACATGTACGAACGACTCTTTCTCATATTAACATCGACACTTTTTTGAGACTAATTCGCACACTAATGCATTACACAGTAAATAATAATAAGCACAGAATTTGTGAGGTAACTCTGGCGGGCTGCAGTAGTGTGCGATGAAGATAGCTTCATTCTCGTTTTTACATACCCTACTCTTGCTACTATATAATAATATGGGGGCAACTATTGAATTATATATGACCAACTGTGCTTTTTAGCCTTAAATTGAGACTGCCAAATAATTTCCTTGCCAATCTATTCATTCTATTCCCATTTATAATATTTTATTGATATATAATCTAGTTATTTGGATTTTAGTTCAGACACTTAAATTATGCCAAAAGGTTGTCGTCCCAGAAAACCTTACCTGCCGCCGTGAGAATGCCTTAAGCTGAAGAGGGATAATGAGTTTCAGGTAAATTACCAGAGGCTAATAATGAAGAGATTACGTGATGAATTAGGTTCATGACTATAATCCTAGATTTTAGAGGTTGTTGATTGCAGTAGGCATTATTGTGGTAAATGTAGTATTTGTTTGTGAAACATATTTGCAGAAGTCGAATTTACCATCCTTTTTCTAATTATTTTGTTATATTAAGGGTCTACACCTACACTGAAAAATAAGTCGAAAATATAAAATGTAAATGATCATACAAGATTTATGGGTATCGAAAAAATCTTAATGTGTCTGGAATCAGTGTACAAGTAATAATGCTCTACGAAACGGAAGCTTTCTTTAATCGTGAACGCACCAATAAATAACGAGATGTTGCGTAGATCCAATGACACATTTCGTAGATTCGTAGAATTGCTAATTCGTAGAATGTAGGGTGCATTGTAAATATTGCGTATTTACATATTGATTTTGCTTCCCAACAAGTAGTGTTTCATTCCACAAAGAAAAGGCTGTTTTTAAAAACATGCTTTTAAAGCCTTTAGACTTCATCATCAGACTCTGAGTAACACATAGGTTGATACAATACTATTTGTCTAGACAAATCAAACAAGATCAAATACGACGAATTTATGTAGTTTAAGTTCCTATGACCACGTCTCGTCTACCAGTTCGATGGTACCATGTTATATATGTATATTTTATACAAACTTAGAATGGCAAACAAGTTGACGGTCCACCTGATAGAAAGTGGTAATCGTCGCCTATAGACATGAATAGTACGAGTACCATGAGCATAACAAATTCTACTGTTTTGCCCATGATACCCCCCCCCATGCGTTAATTCATGCGTTTACGTTAATTATAATTAAATAAGTTAAAATTTTCACTAGAACAAAAATGAAAGAAAGGTTACACCAGGTCATGAAGCTTTCCTTTTGAAGATTTTAATGAAATGTTATTATCAATACGCAATAATATAACCCAGACAGATATGAAGATATAAAAATATCTTTAATCAATGATCTATATTATGTTAGATTGATAAATGGGCGTAATCATTCCCTCAAATAAGTTCTACTCATTCGGCCGTTCACATGGTTTTATACGAAAATCTGTTTTCCTCGATCGCTCAATATCTTTAACATATTGAGATTCTGCGATTATTTTCATTGAGACGCAATATTACTTCGGATCAATGAACTGTTGATTTGGTTAGGACTCATAGAAAATTGTCATTGCGATTTAGCGTGTGCGTTATAGGTAAATAGAAAATCTCTCAAGATTCTGTTGGATATGCATTAATAAAGTATGAAGTAGGTGCTTAGGATTATAGAAACCAATTTTATTTACATTACTTATACTTGTTGTTATATTTGTTTTTTTGTGTTGTATAATGTTTTTTTTTTTATGCAATTTGGAATGGCAAACAAGCTGACAGCCCATCTGATGGTAAGTGGTAACCGTCGCCTGTAGACATGAGCAGTAGCATGGACATAACAGAGTATATTATTTCGCTCATGATCCCCCCCCCCCCCCCCCCCTCATGGGTTGCCATTCTTGAAAACTCAAGTGTTATTCCGCTGTACCCTGTAAATTCATTCCCATATTTCACCCTTCAAACTTATACACAGCCATGCAAACAACTGTTTCACGTTAAAAATAGGAAAAGGACAGAAGCGCTCAAGCAAATGACTTTTGTACAAAGTCTCCCTCTGGTGTTTACTTAAATATGTTTTTTTTTTATTGTTTCACTATTCTAAGTATTTTATATCTGTGTTGCTTTTAAGGAGGTTTTCAATTAATTTTTAATTTTTTTATTTGTAATATATATGATGTCTACGTCAATTGTGAATCGACTATGATATTTTTACCACCGACAGAGTTTTCTAATCAAATGACTATTTGTAGACGTTTCAATTCGCGTTTTAAATGTGTCTACGAAACAGTTCGCTATTCATCACTTTGTATGTGTAAGATTATAGTAGATATTTTTGCCGAGCGAAATGTATTTTTATCTGGAAAAAGTCTTAAAATACTTAGATGTCCAAAATAAACTTTATGTGTGTTTATAGCAGATATACTAATATATATATTTAAATATACTTATATAATGAAATTGTAATTTTACGATGTCTATACATGGAAGGTATTTTAACAAAATTGATGTTAAGAGTTTTAATAGGGTCAAGTAACAGAAACCAAAATAAATTTTTTTAGAAAAAAATGTTTGCCTGTTTGTTTCAGCATTACGCAAAATCTATTGCGCTAAATTGAATGCGGTATTTATTGTTGTATATTTGAGGTCTTATTTAAAAACTAATGTATGTTTTATTCGATACGCCGTTTAGAGATGGTCTATTTCATTGGTTTTTCTTCTTCTGAAATCTGCGCTTATGACTTGTAGGATACGAGGTAGCGGACAAAAAACTAGTAGTAGATAAAAATCAATTTGCTGTACTAGTTATAATAACTACGCTGTGACTTACTGCATAATTACCGGGTGTTGCATCATAATTCAGTTATGTCAAATTAATCGATATAAAATTAGATTTGTCTATCCTTCATATGCTAAAGAAATAAGAAAACAATAATGTCATCATTCCTTTATGCCTTCAGAATTTTGTTAGAATCGACTAGGTAAATAAACCGTAATAAATAAGGAACAATTCAAATAAAGCTCTACAGCAAACAGTCTGTTGAATATTGTGATAATAGGACAATATACTCTTATAGTGAAATATTTTATTTATTGAGACAAAAATTATAATTTTTATTTGCATTTAATAATAATAATTGATTTATTTTCTCTTCACAGTTCATCACAGTGAAATACAATGAGCTATGCTTATATTAAGGTAATCTAATTACAAATATAATTGTGAGAGGCTGGTACCTGAGATAGGTATAACAATACCTGTGTTATAGATATAATATAGGTATAATCATTTAATAAATTGTCATATATACGAGTATTAATTTAGAAATTCCTAACTTTTAGCTTTGCCAGCAATATTTGTCCTTGCTAAGATTATCTAAGTCTATACAAATACTATTTTGTATTTATATATTGTGGTATTTACGAAGTTTTTTACCTAGATAAATAAAACAACTATAATTGGAAGAGGGTACACGGAACATAATGAAATTAGCTAAGAAAGGAAACAATTGTTAAACGTAATCAGTAGAAGTGAATGGCCGTTTATCAAATTGTTCAAGGCAAACACGGAAATATTCCAAGTCCCAATAAGGTGTTTCAAATATCACACTATTTACAGGTATATTTAAGGTTGGTATTAAGACAGTTATTGGAATATACAAGTCACTTGGAGCCTATACTGTATTCTATGGTTCTTTTCTTGCGCTAACCTGTAGCCAACGCCTTGCATATTTGCCAACGACACAAAGGTATCTGGAATACGCCTACAAAACAGTATAAAAGCTGTATTGAACAGGGTGAAAACATCAGTCACTTACTGAGTACCAAACAACACAGACCACAATGTTCAAGCTGGTGGTGTTGTCCGCTGTAGTAGCCCTGGCGACTGCCAAGCCCAGTGCTATCGCTCCTTGGGGTCTTGGTCTCGGCCTTGGACTGGGTGCTCATCTAGCCGCCCCGCTAGCTGCCCCTGTGGTTGCTGCTCCGCTTGCGGCTCCGATATTGAGTGCTCCTGCTCTTGGCGCCTACAACTACAGAGGACCTCTGTCGCTCGGACCTGGACAGCCTGCGAATATCGTAGCAGCTGACGGCAGGCCCCTTGACACTATCAGTGTGAATTTGGATCGTGCTGCTCACTACACCGCGAGGGCCGTAGATGCTCATGGACTTCACGTGTTGAAGAAACGTTCTGCTCCACTGCTAGCTCCCGCAGCAGCTTGGGCTGCTCTGCTCGTCTTAGTGTTCCAGTGGCTCCCATCGCTGCTCCTCTTGCGGCTCCTATTGCGCCTTTGGGTATTGCACCCATTGCCCCCGCTGGTGTTCTGGGCCTTGGAGGTTTAGCTCACGCTGGAGTATTGGGCCATGCTGGAGTTTTAGCTAATCCTTTGGGTCGTGCTGATGCCCTTGGTCATGTTTGGTGAATGTGTACATAAAATATTATATAATTTAGAATACTTCAAAATGTAAAGCTACCTACTCATAGTTTATAAAGAGAGTTACCATATTATTACATACTTTTATTTAAATCCATTCGTGTAGAAGTATGAAAGTCTGTTTTATATTTTATATATTCTAATATTTAGTTAAATATATGCATATGGTACATTACATACATTATGTTCATTGTACCAAAACATTTAAAATATTATATTATAATTATCAAAGACAACAGAAAGAAAAATGAAGATAAGTACCTACTTATCTTCATTTAATACATCTGTATTAATTATATTTGTCTTACAATATTTTGAGAGAAATATTTTGAAATGCCTGGGATACAAATGATCATTTTAAATAACAATAATATAGTACTTTTTGCCTACAGATGTGTATAAACTCTAATAAGCCCTGATAAATTAAGAAGGATTTAATTGAATATAGCAGTTAACTATAATGCTACGTTATTGTCTATAGGTTTTTGTAAGAGAGAGATGTAAGAATATACATCAAAAATTAAAATAACAATCAACATGCACCTCAGCGATCATTCTCGATGCAGTATAGAACTGCAGCATTCCCAGCGATATCCTAAATGCATTAATAATCTGGACTCGTAGGACTGTACTGCTTCCGAGTGTGAAAGGACATACAAAACGCTTTGAAAAGAGCGATTTCGTAGTAACTTATACGTTACAATTATTTACGTTACCTTTACGATACTTATCTATGATATTTTTACAGTACCACTGTGTTTAGTGAGCAGTTTTAATCACGAAGAACTGGTAAGAAATTTAACTGCTGCTTTTTTTAAAATAAGTAAAAATACAAAGTAAAAAGAAAATAAAATAAAAGAACAAAATATTTATTTAGGGACAAACACATATTTTGTTAACAAATACATTGAGCGTATTGAAAATCACGTGCAAGTTCATACAATATATTAAGCACGTACACACATTATGCACAATGCATATTAATTTTCAAAGTCATCAAGAAATAAGCTTTCCTTAGTATTTTAAATTTATTGAAAGGTTATTCGTAAATGTTTTTCGGTAATCTTATTTTTATCTAAATTTCATAGCTAATTTCAATTTAAAGGGATATAGTAGTGGAAATTACAGGGAACGAACACATAACACAATAGTTAGTATTCAAGAATGTCAACGTATGAGAGGTATCAAAAGTGTCACAGAATATGGTGTGATTGCCGTGGTATTGCTTATGTCTATAGACGATTCTCATCATTTTTATATACTAACATACAACAACAATTTTTTTTTTTGCGAAACAAAATATCTGAAGATTAATTTTTATTGTTTATGTGTATTTAATTGTGAAAAAATATGAATTTCTTATATTTTTTATAACTAGTATACAGAGGCGCTGATAGGGGCAAAAATCTTATATCGGCAAACATCACGTAACCTATCAAACAACAAAACTATGTCTAACAACTGGTGAGGTCCTTTCAAAAGTTGTCCCAAATATGAGGAACTTTGGAATTTTTTCTGTAATCTAATAAATCCTATATCTTCTAGCGCTTCTTTCTGAACTATACTGATGTTATTGGCTTCTGATGCCCTTTACAACTTTAGTGAACTATAAGTAGGTACCGAAATAGTACCAAATTTTCGACCTGCAATCTTTCTAAATAACAGGTAATAGATATTTTAAATAATAAACGTTACTATTTTATCTTTTATTTATTATATACGAGTATTACCAGAGGGAGACTTTTGTACAAAAGTCGTTTGCTTGGGTACCTCTGTCCCATTCGTGTTTCTACCGTGAAGCAGTTTTGTTAACATGTCTGTGTTTTAATTTAAAGGGTGGGATATGGCAGTGAATTTACAGGGTACAGAGCAATAACACCTGTGTCCTCAAGAATGGCGACACATGGGGAGATATCATGGGCGAAACAGTATACTCTGTTATGTCCATGGCATTGTTCATGTCTATAGGCGACGGTTACCATTTTCCATCAGGTGGGCCGTCAGCTTGCTTGCCATTCTTAGTTGTATATAAAAATGTTTAATAATGATAATTTTTTTAATGAGTGATAATGGAATGGTAACCCCGTCCGCGTTAACGGTATACATTCGCGGGGAACAAGTGAAGGATGACAGGTGATGATGAACACACTTGGAATTCAGGTCAGTTCACATGGACTGGGGGAAAAGGATTGTTAGTAATGAGGTCTAATAGCCTCATTGCTAGCGATATACCCTCTCAGCTCGACCTTCACGCGGTTACCCCTGGAAACCATCATGGTTAATTCTTGTCGAATTTATCATGGTGGGCCAATTGACCTGCATTCATTCTCACTTATCATCTTCCATTGGTGCCCCGTCGGTATATACCGATAGTGCGGGCGGGGTTACCATTCCATTTTTACCTATTAAAAAAAGAGTTCACATGTACTGCGGGGAGGTTGACCTGACAGGATATATTGTTAGCAATGAGGTTGGTAGTATTCATTACTAACAATCCCTTCCTCTTAGTAATGATGATTTAGGATGTGACCTAAATAAAATAATTTGCAACAACATAAAATACGAATAAATTCTTCATAGTGTATTATGTATTTGCTTTATATATACATATTTACATATACTTTTTTTAAGTTTCATTGAGTATTTATTCACCAATGGGCGATGGGTGCTGCGTAGGAGATAGCTGCAACTCGAGGAATAATGGGGGCGCTGTAGACTGAAACAGCGGGGGCGACCAGGGGAGCAGAAGCCACGGCCAGTCGGCTCAGAGGTGCTGCCAGAATTGGGGCGGAACGCTTCTTCAACACGTGCAATCCATCGAGAGCCTTGGCAGTCAGGTGAGCAGAACGGTCGAGGTTGACTTCCAGAGTATCCAGTGGCCTGCCATCAGAAGCCAGGATATTAGCGGGCTGACCAGGAGCTAGTGACAGCGGGCCCCGGTAGTTGTATGGTGCGATCAAGGGCGCAGAGTAGGCGATTGGGGCAATCCCAGCGATCAGACTAGCCGAAGCAGCGGCCAACAGGCAAGACAACACCACCAGCTTCATCATTTTGATTGTGGTCTGTGTTGTATTTTGCATGCAGAAATACTGATGCACTGGTATGATTTCGATTGGCTTATATACTTGTATAAGATTACTACGATGGGTGACGCCGGAGCGATTTGTTGGCATTGAAAGGACTACTTTTGCTCGAGAGAAAAGATTGCTAGTTATGTCAGTATATTCATTATCAGATTGTTTATTTACATGTATAATGGCGTTGAAAGATTCTATATTTGTATGAATTTCATATATACGAGTTTTCGTGAATTAAATAAAACTGGTAGAAACAAAAATGTATGAAGAGTACTCGTATTAGATTATTATTGAGATTAATTAACCATTAAATCTGTCTATATTTAAGTACATACTTCAAAGGATGAGCAATCTGAAGTGGCAATGGACTGATTACATAGCTCGAAGAATCGACAACCAATGGAGAAGATAGGTTCTTGAGTGGCGACCCCGTACGAGTAAACGCAGTGTCGGACGACCTCCCACTAGAGGGAGTGACGACCTCAAATATATTGCAGGGAGTCAGTGGATGCAGGTGGCTCAGGATCGTTCCTTATGGCAGTCCACGGGGGAGGCCTTTGTCCAGCAGTGGACGCATAATGGCTGAAGTGATGATGAATGATGATGATAACATAGTTGATTTATTGATAATTGGGTATTATAATAAGATCAATGCATATGTTTATTTTGGCTATGGGAGAGTCGTTTATGTTATTAGATTTTACTTAAGTAATATACTTAAACATTTGAATATTAAGTGAGCGTATCGAATAAACTTTTAAAAATTAAATTAAAACTAATTTACCGTAGGCAGGTAGGATTTGATTCTGGTACATAATATTTTTAAAAGTTTTGTATTACAAGTGTCAACAACCAACAGTATAGTATGAGAAGAAGGTGCAAATTATTTGAAATATATTAGTGTTTTTATGATTTTAACAAAGTTTATGCAATTGATGAAAGCGTTTTGGTTTTCCATTCTCATTTATAATATGCTAAGAATTTTATTCGTCGACGATAAATTATAATTGTCTTTATAGACTATTAAAAAATCTCTTTAAAAGTTATAAAATTATGTAAGTTATTTTGTTCGTCTATCACACATACACACAGTCATTTGCCATTTAAAAGATAATTATGATTTCTGATTTTGACAAGTACTTTTATATTAATAAGGAACCTTCAGCACGTGAGTCACTTAACTAGTCTTTTTTGTTTATATTAATTTTTGAACGAAATTACACTTGCAGAAATTGAAATAAAGTAAAAAAGTGTATATACTTACGTGTTAATATGGCATTATATAGTTCAAGTGCGAAGTACTTTAAGAATTATTGGAACTAAGATTTTATATACTTTTACAAAATATAACGCAATGTTATACGTACATGTCGTCATTACAGGAAACGTATCCTTTATTGAATTTATAATTATGCAGTTAGTTTATTTAAACCTGTTTAAATTATTAACAAAAATAACGATGTATTGATAGTTACAGTTTGCGAAAATATAAAAAAAGAGATGCCTTCTGTGCGTTGAAAAGTTTATCTTCTACGGTGAAGCTGCTAAAACTGGCTATTAATTTCTCACTGAAAAAAACTGGCAGGTTAACTTCTTTCTGACTTCCTAGAAACAACAGTGATTAATTTCTGATAGGCTGATTGCTGCTCTTTGTTTATCCTCATCTATTATCCCTAACTGGTGTCCCGCCAGTGAAACCAATAGCGTAAGTGAAGTTACCATTCCGTTTTCTCCTATTAAATAAACCTTCTTGTAATCAGCAATGGCGCAAATTTTCAATGTTAATTTTTGTTATAGTTTATTGAATGATGGATCATATATAACAATTATTTTAACTATATATGGCGAAAAAAACATTTAAACACTAGCTCTCTCCTGCAGACTCAGTAGTTATCTTGACCATTGACTCCAATCTTACTAAAGTTAGAGGAGACATATTATGTTTTAACATATGTAGTTTAAGGAAAAATGGCACCCATATGGAAACGTAAACTCTTTTACAATGCCCTTTAGAGAGTAATGCCTATATAGGTAGTCGGCTTGGTAGTATATGAAAGTTTTTGGTGTTCAAAGCGGTCAAGGTTTGTATTGAGATGAAACATAATGACTATCTAGAAATTATGATATTTGGATATCTGCTATTCAAATACGATTAAATTGCTGGGATTAAAAGTACTCGCAGCTGACTTTTGCAGATTTATATCCACTTTTTAATTAAAGTTGATTTAAATGAATTATGTTCGAAAATATAATACAATGCACCCGGTGTTGGCTGCTCTCAATTAGTCGCAACCTAGGATTATTATGTCAAAGTAGGTATAATGTATTTATAAAATTTTTTGATTAAACGGAAGTTTATTATATTACAACATACACATGTTATAGTTATCTCTAAAAATGGTCGCAGGTCTGAATTGTCGGCAATTAAAGGATAGTTTCAGATGACTGGCTCTGTAGTAGAAATTGATTTTATTCTATAAATTGATACTAAATAGAAGATAATTATTAGTATTTTCTATTAATGATAAGATAATTATAAAAAATAACCGCAAGAAAAGTTGCCGTCTGGCAACCTCAGATTGCGGCTAATTGAGAGTGGGCAATTACTATAGTTGTATATTAATGTGGTACACATTGTACTATATTTTCGCTCATTACCAATTTGTATCATTTGAGCAAACTTTCATTAAAAAGTTTTATAGCTGCAAAATACTACATCAGCATCTTAGACTATATAGTAACGTTGTTCGATTATAGGGAATGTGAATACTTGGGGAGCTTATAACGGCCAATTTACTTTATTCATAAAAGTATTTATTTCATATAACGTCATAAGATCAAAAACATATAAAACATATATCAGGAACTTAAAATACCATTGAAAAATAAATGCATTCCACTAATTTTTTTTTTTTTCTAAGCATAGAATGATGTTTGTGAATACCCAAATACAAAATATTCTTACAAATTTTGCAAAAATTTTCTAGATATATAAACATCTAATGGTATTTGTCTACACCATCTTTTGCTTCCACCAAATTTTTTTTTAATTGAAATTGTAGATTGTTTAGTTACAACTTTTCTATGACACTGCGAATCTTATATTTTTTTTTGTATAAAATAGATGGATTGATCATGAAGTTTTGTATTTATGGCAAGTGCTCGACTCCATATATGAAGTATTTTATTTTAATTAGGGTTGTTATATAGGAAAGTAAATATAATCTTTTTTTTAACTTAGTTAACCGAAATTTGTTCTTTTTTATAACATAAAGGCAAACAAGCATGCGGTTCATATGATAAGCAATTACTGCCGCCCATAAACACCCGTAACATTGAGTCGTAACATCAAAATTGAGATATGTTAAGACTGGCCTTTTAAGAAGAAATATGCTTTTTTCTTAAAGTTTTCAATATCGTATCTGTTCTAAAATACTGTTGCTGGGAGTTGGTTGCATAATTTTGTTGCGTGTGGAAGTATATGTTGTTATGTACTCTGTATCTGTTGTCATCTATCTATTTGTATGTCATTTACTCAGTATGTTTATTGCATATCACAAGGGTACATAATAGTTCCCACATGATATATGTTAGATATAAGATATTTTGTGATGCTCTGCAAGGGTGTAGCAATCGGCAGAGGGCTTGATAGTCTGTCTACAAAATTGTACGTTGGTAGACAAGTATGATAATAATATACAATATTCGTTTTAGTTAGTATAAAAATAAAGGAATATCTATAATTTTGAAAAATTATCCCCTACCTATATTCTTTTTTTTTTATTACAAGTTCGGGAAGAGTGACTAATTATATCAGCGTAAAGTTGTGTATTTTCTAGTCATTCGGTTTTATCACAATTACATTTAATTATTCAAAAATTACAATAAAATGTGATTATTATATTTATATATTTTTACAAAATATTAAATTTCTCAATAACAAAAATTAACATTGTGGTTAGTGATATTAAAAAAGAAAAATAATCCTTTTATACATATATTTATTTTCATTTACTATTTACATCAATTTATAAACTTTCTAAGTACAAGATTTACCAAGAGGCGATGGGTGCTGCGTAGGAGATTGCTGAAACTCGTGGGTAAATGGGAGCGCTGTAGACTGAAACAGCAGGGGCGACCAGGGGAGCGGAAGCCACGGCCACTTGGCTTAGAGGTGCAGCCAGGATTGGGGCGGAACGCTTCTTCAACACGTGTAATCCGTCGAGAGCCTTGGCAGTCAAGTGAGCAGAACGGTCGAGGTTGACTTCCAGAGTATCCAGTGGCCTGCCATCAGAAGCCAGGATATTAGCTGGCTGACCAGGAGCTAGCGACAGCGGGCCCCGGTAGTTGTATGGTGCGATCAGGGGCGCGGAGTAGGCGATTGGGGCAATCCCAGCGATCAGACTAGCCGAAGCAGCGGCCAACAGGCAAGACAACACCACCAGCTTCATCATTTTGATTATGGTCTGTGTTGTATTCTGCACTCAGAAACACTGATGCACTGGTATGATTGCAATCGGCTTATATACTCGCATTATAAGATTACCTATGGGCGATGCCGGAACAGTTCGTTGACTTTGTTGACATTGAAAGGACTACTTTTGCCTGAGAGAAAAGATCCTTAACTTGTATTCTTTTTGTTATAGTGGACATATTTAATAAATTAATCTGTTTATTTAGATAACATGTTTACATGTCAATACCAGGTTGCAATTTCATGCTCGGATGCGAATTGAAGTGTCATCAAATGACATATAAGCTAACTGTTCCTATAAATAATGGCGCGGGATTTTAGCATTATCGATATGAAAACTAAAATATGTAAAACTACAAAATTAGTTTATTATTGCATTATATTATGTTCAATAGATCTATTTTTAGAAACTGTGTTTCAGATAAATTATTAAAATTATAAATAAACTTCAAATGAAAATTACTTACAGAAAATAAAAAAAAATTGTAGATTGTTAGGTTCTAATATGATGATTATAGTAGAAAATATATATTTTATATATTTTAAGTCGTGCTTTACTTTTTATTTTTAATTTATATATTGAACAACAAAGGAAAATCTTAATCTAATCTTAATTCTCAGAATTATACTAATTGTCTGGTTGCTGACGATATGTCGAGAAATTATCCTTACTAATATTATAAATATGAAAGTGATTTTGTTTGTTACAGCGTCTTAACTGCTTTATTATTATGAAATTTGGTAAAATGTATTATACGGGATGGAGAAGGATATAGGCTACTTTTCATAAACATTTTATATTTCGCTCACGCGGACGAAGTCGCGTACAAAAGGTAGTAATATATAGATATATCAATTTAAATGTAGATAAGCCTATTAAAAACACGTTATTCTCTGTAGTTATTTAAATATTATCTATTGAATTACAATTTTAATCAGTATTGTGTTATTTTACTTGTTAATATAACTGGACTGATGTAGGTAATAAAACAGAACCATGATAAATAAAGGAATGATAAATATTGATAACTTGATTAGTGGTACTGTAACAGTATGTTTAGTAAATTTATAAGTTAGTGTCACCAGTTATTTTCCTTAGACAGGGACAGAGATATGAACTTAAGTTGATGCTGCAATTAGATATATTTTGCATTTTCATTTTTGGCCTTAATTCTTCATTTAATTTTAGATAACTCTAATGTTAATATATTAATAAAAATAATAAAATAATATTTTTTTAAAGTTATTTATTAATCTATAAAATTAATAAATAACTTTTAAAAAACTTCAAGGCAAGTAGTTTAGTGTAGCGTGATTAGATTAGTTGCAATTTCAGATTTGGGGCGTCTATCTCTATGTTTTATGGATAGTTATGTTAAATTATCTAAAAGAAATGTTGTTGAGTTATGATACGAAGTTTAAGTAAAATCTCTGATGAATAAGTGTATATATTTATCTATGATATTTATGAGGTGAGTCAGAAACTGCATGCCTATTTTTGTAGACAGCTTTATAATTAATTTCTTGGTGACATATAATATTGAATATTACCTCTAGTATGGTTTTGGTCTCCTGATATTTAATGTCTCCGCTTCTATATATCTACTTATGAGATACAAAACGCATAAGACGTTATCAAATAATTTTAAATGAATACAGTATAGATACAGTAGTTCTATGTCTGTAAACTATTTTTTTTTGATAGGCAAAAATAGAATGGTAACCCTGTCTTCGCTAACAGGTGGTATCAGAAAAAGGTGATGGTTGAAAATAAAAGCAGAGAATCTGACATGAAATTTTTTCAACAACAAACTTGATGACGATCACTTGACAACAACGAACAAAACACAAATGTGATGTTAAATTTACATGATGAATACCGTTTAAAAATATTAAAAAATTAAATTAATATTATTTCATGGTAGACCCTCAAGTTACTTAGTTCACCGTGACGAATTCCACAATGATTTCCATGGGAACCGCATGGAGGTCTATCTGACTGAATATATTACTTGCAATGGGGCTGTTAAGTCCCATTACTCACAAAACTCACAATCTTTTTTTCCCTTTTGTGTTCACTATTAATTTAGTCACGATTAGAGTCACTGCTATTTTTTGTGGTGCAAAATCTAAACGAAAATCAGTAACTCATAAAGATTTAGATTTTAGTTACATTTTTGGCGTCAAAATCGTTAGTATCATAAGTGTTTGCTGAGACTTATTTCTGAAAAGTGACACCTTTAAAGAGTGTACAATGTATACTGTGATGACAATGATTTATTGTTCACGTCTACAGGACACGATTACCTGTTTCCATCAAGTGGGCCGTCAGTTTTTCTCCTTTTCTAGTTATATTTATTATAAAGAAATGTAATAGTACTTGTAGTGAAAAGGGCAACTAAATTAATTTTTTCTTTGATAACTAATAATCGGAGCCATCTTTTTTATATTGAATCGATTTTAAAAAAAGAAGAGATTCTCAATTTGTGACTAACATGTTTATAGAATGGGCTACCACTTTCTTTCCCGTGAGTGTCGTAAGTGCCGTGAGTGACAAAGGGCAGGCGAGAGAGAGGCAGCAGCGTCCCTCCTAAAACATCTCCAAAGCCTAACTGTGGTTGCAAATCCGCCTTCCAAGCATCGCAACTACTGGCAAAACCTCCTAAAGGACAGGCTTATGTTCAGCAGTGGACAGGTAAATGCTGATATGACGATAATGTATACAATGAGTATATCACAGATTTGGCGTCAATTGTTACGATTAGCATCGAAGCGTGGATTCTATTTAACTTGAAAGAGTTGACCGTGTGAAATAGATTAGATGAAATATAATTAAAAAATGTTTTACAGTGTCAAGTTTACAGTCGAAAAAATATGTCTGTCTATCACATTTGCTATTATGGGCGGAGGCTACGTGGGTGCTCATTGTTTTATTAAAAACGACTTTTATTAATATAAAAAAAAAAAAACAAATTTTGGGGAAAATTTTAAATAATAAAAAGGACGTAACATTTAAATTTAATTTAAATAAGCAGCTTATAATCAAATACGCAAGCCACGGAGCTCTTATTTATACATTTTATGTATCTACCATGTCATATGTTACTTATCAACAATAACGTAGCAACACAGTTTACCAATTTATTTTTACTTTGTTTTTATTTATTGTTTTAGTAGCTTGATATAGATAAATAGTAATTACAGACTTGTTATTTTAATACCTACAGGTACCTCGTGTGAGAGCCTTTGTGTTTAATTGCAAGTTTATGAAAAGGGTACGACAGTGATGTACCTTACTGGGCTTCTGTACGGCCTCGCTAATTGTAAATGCCAGCTTCCTGGACAACTACCTTGCACCGGTTTTCAAAACGAGATCGCCCTTAGCTTTAGTGATTTCTTTGTATAAATACGGTACCAAGTATTGGAAGGGCATCAGTTGTTCTTTGAAACATCACAAACCACAATGTACAAGCTAGTAGTGTTGAGCGTTCTTCTCGCCTTGGCCGTTGCCGAGCCTGAGCCGAAGCCGGGCACCTTTATTGCACCTCTGCCGATCAGTCCGTACGCAAACGTTGTGGTGCCAGCATCTACGACGATCACAAAGCAAGCGAGCAGCATTCTACACCCATCGCCATTCGTCTACAACACGCCAGTGGCCCTCACGCATTTCATCAAGAAACGTTCTGCTCCCCTGACGTACATCGCGCCGTCCTACGCCGCACCTCTGGCGGCTACTTACAACGCGCCTATTGCTAGGCCACCTCTATTCGCATCACCGTTCGTGGCCCCACTGCCCTACGTAGCTGCAACACACTTGATCAAGAAGCGATCTGCTCCTTTCCTACCTACAACTTACATAACTCCCACAACCTATGCTGCGTCCACACCTCTGTTGGCATCTACTTACACAACCACACCTCTTCTTTCATCACCCCTGATTCCCTCCACTCCAATTATCTCCTCACCCGTTACGCATTTCATCAAAAAGCGCTCTGCTCCTTTTGTAAGCCTTACTCCAACTGCCTATTCACAGCAGTCCAGAATCGATCTCCAGTCTACCCCTGTCATTAATACTCAATATACTTATCCCCTGCCAGCTAGTCCTATTGCTTACTCCCACGTATTCTAAATATTGTATTAATATGAGAGTACTGAAAAGTCAGACAAATTGAAAATGTCGACATAAATGTAAATCCTAAATCCCCATCCACTTTCAACGGGTGTAATATGTTCCACCATGTATATATGTTTCAGATATAAATTAAATTTGGGAAAAATATATATATTATCATTTTACAACCTGGTTTTCTTTATACATACTGTTCTATATTCCACTAACAATAATATAGGTAGGTAGTTGGATAAATTATTTACAATGTATATGTATTTTGTAGAATTTAATAACAAATTCGAAACAATTGTTTCCATATTTCTTTGACCTGTATGAGTACTAATAATAGTATAATATTTTCTGTGCCTGAATTTTCTTTATTTATTCTAAAATGAGTAAAAGAAACTTTTATCGAGTATTTGATTGGCACTTTAGTAGGAATAGGACACTTTAAAAATAATTTGACTGTTCGTGAGTTCACAAAATATAATGTAGAATATAAAATAAAAATCATAACATTCTTTGAAAGTAATATTATGAATTTTACACTTCAATACATACATACTTGTGTCCTCCTTCAGAAACCGACCATGAACCAAATTTGAGGCCCATCCATTCGCTTGACAGCCGTGGGTGATGTCTTACTTATGTTGACGTCTAATATTATGTAATGAATTTTTCATTTCAGAAATCAGGTTATGGTAACTGTAATGTTAACCTATTTACTCATTCAATAGAACATATATAAAAAGCGTTGGGATTAGATACCAGGTATCTCTAATAATAAAGTATAATCTATTGCGTACGGTTTATTGCTGAATAAATGAAACTTAAAAACATTTAAAAAGATAAAATATTATTATAAAACACTTATATTCTACTGCATTATATTTATTAAAGTAATGATTAAATGTTAAAATTAGTGAGATCTTGTTAACGTATTTTATTATATTTATCATTAAGAAACAGTTTATATAGAAAGTGAGAAAAACTATATTATGTATGTAACTTTATATAATATTCATAGCACTCATAAAAATATTGCTTTATTTAAAATATCAAAAATCAAATTTTAAATATTAATTATAAATTCTAATAAAAGGTATATCAGTCATTTGCCATAAACTATAAATTTTTAGAAAAACAAATTAACAAACAATAAATTATTATAAAATAAACCATGTTTAACATTATTTCAGTATTATTATTATTATTTTTGAACCACTAAGAAACTTCCAATTCAGTTGCAGGTATTTCTGATGTAAATTCTTGTCTTTTGGCTTGAACTTGCTTATAAGCTGCCGTTGATGGCCTAGAACTGTGGTCTCGGTTTTCTTCAGCATCGCCTACTAGTATCACATCTTCATTTACTTTTATAGGTATTACATTATGTGACTTTAAGTGTTCATTATATTCGTAAGCTTCGTGCACTTTATCAATCGTAATTGGATGTTCTAGAGCTCTTGCCAAAGGGAGATTATGAAATATTGTTAAAGCAATTGGAGTTAGAAAAGTATTTGTCGTCAATGTGGGAGCGAAGGCAACCTCTTTGGTGATTTCCGTCTTTGGATGACTTGCATATATAACCGGACTGTAAATCACTGGTGTGGAAATGTAGCCAGGCGTGTGTTTGATATCGATTCGCGATTGGTGAGACACTGCACTTGGAGCCGCGTATATTATAGGCACATTACAATGAACTTTAGCAATCACATATATTATTAGAAGTAAACGAATCATTTTGAAGCGCACACTATTTGTAGTGTATCACGTGAAGGGCAGTAGAGTTTTATAGGCATGTAACGGTAGATGTAACATCGTGTCGGTGGCAACAAGTTCAAGTTCTCGGCCGTTGGTCTCCAACGGGTCGTTGCGTCATTGTATGCTCCAGGGCACTGGCCGGATTCGAGATGCGCTTATTATAAAAACGTCATTCATGAATATTAATGATGGATGCACTTAAACTTGTTTCTTAAAAGCAATTGAGTTTGATTGATGTTAGACTAAGAGAACAGGAATGACAATGTGTTACGAAATAATGTTGAAATACTTATAGTAGCTTTTGTAAACGATGCAGTAATAGAAATATTACAGAAATGTGGTTTCGGGTCTGACTATCCAATTTTGGAAAGAAACTTTCTTAAATTGGCTTATTATGTTTTATTTTGGAATGTAGTGAATCTCTGTGGTTCTGTGGCATATATTTTTATACTATTCAAGTTTATAATTAACGACTATATATTCTTTATTAGTTTTAATCCTATATATAATGTACATATGTGTTATTTGTATTAATCAGTGGATAATAGGAATAAAAATATTTTTTATTGAGAGTACAGCACGCAATCTATACATACTTACCATTTATTATTGCTCATAGGCTATTTTAAATTAACTTATAAAAACTATAAATTCTACTTCTTGCTTATTGTTAACGACAATCACTAGGTTTAATAGCGTGTCGAATCTATTATTAGTTTTTCGGTCCTGTCACTTTGATTCAACATTCATAGTATAAGAAGGGGATACTTCAGGCTCCAGGTATCAGTCGACTTGTTTTATTGCGACCGGAACAATCAAGATGTTTTTTGTCGCGGTGTTGTTCGCCTGCCTCGCTCTGTGCAGCAGTCTCCCAGTGTTGCCGTTAGTTGTTCCTGCAGCGCATACGCTACATGCACCCGTTTTGGCGCCATATCCACTACAACATGGTTACGTTGGGCACGGTCTTGTGCGCCAGGCTCTGTGGGCCAAGCCGCTCGGACACCATATACTGAAGAGATCTCCTCACTTAGTTGCACCAGTGGCTCATGTGGCCCCTATTGCGCATGTTGCTCCCGTAGCTCACGTCGCGCCTGTTGCTGTTTCACACCAGTCTCGCTTGGATGTCAGGACGTCGCCAGCTGTGGTCGCAGCGCCAGTGCTACCTATCGTTAAGCCTGTTGTGGCCCCAGTGGTAGCCCCTCTTCTTTCGAAGGCAGTGGTCGCAGCACCTTTACATTACGGAGTCGGACATGGTCTTTATGGAGCTGGATTAGGACATTATGGGGCTGGACTTCCACATTTAGGCCATTATTAGTACAGGAGAAGTATTCGTTCTAAGGTTACTGATTAATATCATACTGGTCCTTTGGTTATTGATTAGTTTTGTACAAAGTAGAATAAAATTTTTCTAAACCATACAAATAATAAATGTTCTGATATTAAAAATTTGTTTTACTTCTGTTGTACCTAATTTTATTTTTTTACAACTTATAGACCTATTTATTTTTACCCGCGACTTCGTTCGCGTGACTTGAAATATTTTAATCCCCCGAGATATAGATAGCAGTCTACATGTTCTTTTACATCTTAAATAAATTGTCTATACTAAATCTCATGAAAATTGGTTGAGTAGTTAGAACGCTAAGAGGTAACAAACACACAAACTCACTGTTATGTTTATAATATTACTAAGGATTTTACAATTATGAAGTAGCAGCATTGTATATATTTATGTACCTTTATTGATAGACTACATTTGCATTAAAGGTATGTTTTTCAGTATATGTATATATTGAATTCCCAAATATAGTGTTAAAAAGGAAGCATTTAAAATTATTTTTAAATATAATCATCTTAATAATTGCATTTACAAAATTCGAAGTACGATTAGACAATGGCTTATATACACTCTCAGTTTTTGTTTTATAATTTCCACGCTTGTCTAACACATTAGACATTTGCGGACATCATCTTAAATGATTATTGTAATGCAGTCATCATCATCATCATATCAGCTCTTAACCGTGCATTGCTGGAAATAAGCCTCCTTCTTGAGGAGTTTTGCCAGTAGTTACCACGCTTGGTAGGCGGATTGGTAACCGCAGTCCGGCTTTAGAGATGTTTTAAGAGGGACGCTGTTGCCGTCCCTTAGTCGACTTCTACGACAACCACGGGAAATGATGGGGTGGCTTATTCTATACCGGGACCACACGGCCAATGTAGTATTTAATGTAAAATTATAAAGCTTCATTAGGAAAAGGGTCTTTATTAAATGTATAGAATATACACAAGTATATAATTGTTTCATACTCGTAATAACGAGTTACAACTAAAATAAGTTGATTTAAATTCTATTTTATGGAAAAAATTAACTTTACCTTTAATTAATCTTAAACATACATTAATGTTATTATGTGTTAAATAAAGGTATGTAGGATGCAATATGGAAAATAAGTTGACTAAATAATAAGAAATAAAAATACGTTACAAAATCATTTATTTCGGCAGTGATTTTTTACATAATTTCTATCATTGATCAGACTTAGAAAATTAGGTATAAGTTTACCAGGGATGGACACTGTAAGCTCTAGGGACGACGGCAGAGTAGGCGACTGGGGTAGCATAAGAAGAAACAACTGGGGCAGACACCACAGGAGCGGCAGATACCACTGGTGTGGAGTAGGCGGATACGACTGGAGCAACTACGGAACTGTAGGCTACCGGTGCGACACCAACAGATCGCTTGTGGATACCGTGAGCGGCGAGAGCCCTAGTTTGGTAGTGGGCAGCACGGGCGGCAACAACTTCGGGAGTGTCAAGGGGAACACCGTTGACGGCATCCAGGACTATGGCAGGGGAGTTGGGAGCCTGAGCGACAGCACCCACTACGGCGGGGCTGACAGCGGAGACTACGGCGGGGGCGACGGCTGGAACTACTGAGCGGGCGTAAGCAGGGGCGACCACCGATGGCGCGCTGTAGACGGCTGGTCCTACCACGGGGGCACCGTGCACTACGCTGGAGCTGTACTGCGACACTGAGCTTACAGCAGGAACGGCAGCAGAGTACGCCAACGGCGCCACTGAAGCCACTACGCTGGGCTTGGCCGCAGCCAAAGCTACTACGGATAACAACACCACCAGCTTGTACATTGTGGTCTGTGTTGAGTTGTCTGATCGATGATTTCGAATCGACTGATGCTTAATGCTTCGCGATAGATGCTTTTATAGTACTTATCTAATTTGAATTATGACTAGCAAAAAATGCCACACAATCACCTTCAAACTATCTGTACCTTGATATTCAAACTGGGTTTGCTAGTACAGTAGGCATATTATATTTTTTGAGCATAAACTTCCGTCATTAATTTTTATTGGTTATGTATTTGCACTACACGTGCAATTTTACTGTATATAATTCTCTTTTATATTATATGTATAGTAATTTCTAATATTATTCACGTCGTATCGGATTAACAAATCTATAATGAAAAATAGTATTTTATTATATATATATATATATATATATATATATATATATATATATATATATATATATATATATATATATATATATATATATATATATATATATATATTCTTTAATCATCGACATATGTTAAATAATTAAACTTTTTTAATCTATGTTTATCACATCTTGTATGTATGAATGATTGTACTTAATTGTAAAAAACAAATATATTATAAAATTATTTTATTTTTAATGTATTTACTTTTTGTAGTTTGTAATGACACTATACAATGATAATTTCCTATATTAACTTATTTCTATCATAATCATAATAATTTTCACCTTATCTTTTAAATCAGGTTACATACGAATATCTATTAAACATTTAATTTGTAAAGGATTTATCTTTCAATTAATACTTGTGACTTTATGTTCCTGTCATACGATTATTTCCATAAATATCTTTTTTTTTTATACGACTTAGAATGGCAAACAAGTTGACGGCTCACCTGATGGAAAGTGATAACCATCGCTTATAGACATGAGCAGTACCATGGACATAACAGAGTATACTGATTCTCCCATGATACTCCCCATGCGTTGCTATTCCTGAGGACTCAGGTGTTATTCCTCTGTACCCTGTAAATTCATGCCATATCCCACCCTTCAAACCGAAACACAGCCATGCAAACACAACTGCTTCATGGTTGAAACACAAATGGGACAGAGGTACCCAAGCAAACGACTTTTGTACAAAATCTCCCCATATCTATATATCATAGTGAGCTAACTAGCAGTAATGGTGAGTTTTACCATTGATCTGATGAATTTACTATGTTAACAGTGTTTCCTATCTTAAGAAAATTAATAGTAAATTTAAAATTGTCCTATAATGTTATGTAGGTTATACTATAAGTACGCCAAATTTGAATTCGTGAGTTCGAATTTGACACCAAATTTGGTAAATCAATAAGAGACATTGCATACTTACCTATAATTATTAGTATTTAACAATCGTATAGTTTGCTAAAAATCGATGTTTTATAATTATAAACCTCGAATGGGTTAATGACCCGTTTAGTGTAATCTCTTATACTCCTTCATTGATAGGTACTGGTAGCATAAAAAAGATTTTGTTAAAATATATTAATATTTTTATATATTTAATAATTATATATAAAAATATAATATATAAAAATTATCAAGTTGATACCAAGAAATATTTGATGACAAACTGCCATTCTCACATGCAGAGCATTTTGTTAATTTAACTTATATTTGTCGAAATATTTTATGGTCATTGCAATAGAATCTAATGAATATTGACTAAGTATTTTAAAATTATCACAGAAACACTCTTTAAACGAAATTAGTAATAAATCGAAACATCAGGAAGAAATCACCAGAGGGAAGCTTTGTGCAAAAGTCGTTTGCTTGGGCACCTCTGTCCCTTTCGTGTTTCTACCATGAAGCAGTAGGTGGGCACAAACGCATGGGAGGTATCATGGGCGAAACAGTATGTCTATGTATGTTATGTCCATGATACTGTTCATGTCTTTAGGCGACGGTTACCACTTTCCATCAGGTGGGCCGTTAGCTTGTTTGCTATTCTAAGTTTTATAAAAAAAAACAATTATTTAATCGGTTATTTATTTGTTCTAGGTAAATTGCACATCAGCAAACTCTCTCATGCTTATTCTTATTATCGTATAGGTTATTCATTTGTTCATACTTTCATTAAGTTTTACTGAAGCAGATTGTATTCGCTATGGTCTTGTAGTAAGATGTTCAAGTAGTCAATATCGTTGTATAAAAAAATAAAATAAATTAACAGTTTACGTGTGTGTGTATGTGATTTTTATGCAATAAATATGATAAGTGACAAAAGCGAGTAGAATGTGGTAATGGTAACCGTCGCTTATATAAACGAACAACTCTATACATATCTCATAGTAATATATACCACGAATTGTGTTTCCGATTTAATATAATTTAATAAATAAATGGATAACATATAATAAATAAACGGACAATAACACCTTGTCTTAATAGAGGGATAGTAAAAAATAAAAGAATTTTATTTATTTTTAACTAGCTCTCTGCCCCAGCTCAGCACGGATATTCTCTTTGATATAAAGCTTGTTATGATAATTATGAATATTTCGAGAAAAAAAAAGAATTTGTCAAATAGGTACAGTCATTCTGAAGAGATGCGTATAATATATAGGAGTACATTCGGATATTGATTTTTATAAATAAAATTAAAATTTGGCATTAAGAGTCGGTATAATACTGAAACCGTTGCCTTTATCGCTGTTAAGCCCACAGTTAGGGATAAGAGGACGCTTTACTGGTATTATTAGGGTTTCGCACTATAATTTACATATGCTCGTAATGGCAAATAAATTGTGTATAATGGTTTTAACTAGCTTCGGGTGAGTGGAAAAGCTACGATCTTGATTTAATTCAGGTTATTCACGTGCATTGTTAAAAAGATTAAGTGTGTCGTTTGGATCAAACTCACAACGTTTGAGGTGTTAAATATGAATCCTTTGAGAGTTTAGGATAGACATATGTTTTACTTTGGATTTTTAATTAGGGATTAGGGTCCATCTGTATTTTGGATTAATTGAAATCCGTTGTATTTAGAAATTTTGACATATTACCTTAAACAATATAAATAAGCTGGCAGTTCGTTATATATATATATATATATATATATATATATATATATATATATATATATATATATATATATATTTTATATATTATGTGGACTATGTGTCTTTAATATATATATATATATATTAATAATTATAATACAGACAATTATCTTTTATAAAGTCACTCGTGTAATATCATGTTTGATTATGAAAGTTTGCTGAAGAGAAAAAGAGACATACAATATTGTTTTTTTTTGTTTATTTTACTACGAAACTAAAAAAAACTTCTAATTTTTTCTAACATATCATATGTTGTATCATCAAACGTGTTATGTCATCTAACATATATTGTAAAAAAAAATCTATTCTATCTCTTGATTTTTTTAATTACATTACGTATTAAATTCACATTTAAATATATTTTATTCATCTATGATTATGCCTTGTCTCTTGGGGACTGTAAAGTAAAGTTAACCGAGTACTAAAAGCCTCTATCTTTACATAAATATCTTGCATTAATCGCTTTTATAATTTGCCTCATGCGTGAATGTTGGTTTCCACGCTTTCGTAGACTGACTATGAATATTATGTTTATAGACTTTTATTGTACTCTAAGCTATTAACGAAAAATTTACAATCCTCTAAACTTTACTACATATTTTGTGTTGAAAGTCGGAATCGAATTTCAGCTACATTCCAAATTAACACACAAAACAATGACCATTGATATAATATAAATATAACCCTATTATGTCAATGGTCGTAATTGATACATATTGATATTGTTAAAAAAAAACACTTATGCTTTCTACTAAACATAATTAAATTGTATTTTATAATAAAAAAAAAAACCAACATCAATTATAGCAAAATTAGTTACTTTGATTTATAAAGTAAACTACCTAACCGATTTTGACAACATTCCTATGGAACTAATCTGTAAGTATACCATTAAGATAAGAAAAAAATTCTCAAATCAGTTTACAACTGACGGAGTCATGAGGTAACAAATATAAAAAATACTCTGTTTGAAGTCGGTTGAAAATAAATAATCTATGTCAGAAATATTACATTTTAAAGAACTATCTGATATTGTAGTATATATTTTTTTCTACTAAAATCCTCTACCCACTTATTTCTATAAACATCCAAGCTATTCTTCAATTAATTGCACAAAGAAAATAAGTGTAAACTATTTCTACTTTGAACATGCTTTTAATAGCGAAACCAGTCAGGTATTTGTTGAACAGTATAAGTGTTTTTCTAATATTACTAATAAAGCGCTATGTTTAGAAACTTGAGACTTCATCCAGAAGTTCGTTGTGTGACATATTCATTAAGTAGGGGATTTTGGATAATTTCTTCGTTTTTATGTAGGATATTAGCTTAAAGTTGTGGTGTGATTTAAAGCAATTCAAGGACGAAGATTAGATTCACAACTAACCTACCATTGAAAATAATGTTTATTTTACAAGAGATGTAAAAATAAAATCATCATCATCACTATCATAACATCAGCTTTGACTGTCCACTGCTGAACATAAGCCTTTCCCTTGGGGGTTTTAGAGTAGTTGCTACGCTTGGCAGGTGGATTGGCAACCGCTTTGGAGATGTTTTAAGAGAGACGCTGCTGCCCATCCTTTGCCCTCCCCTAGTTGCCTCTTACGACACCCACGGGAAAGGAAGGTGTGGCGTATTTTATACCACGATCAAACGGAAAAAAAATACTGAATAAAAATATAATATTAATTTTATTTAAAATTTGTCACTATCATTTTCAATGTCAATAATCTAAATGATATTGTAACAAATCTATCACACTGGGATTATTTCCCTTTCATAGCATTATAATCTACCAGCCTCTAGTAATAAGAGGAGAAGAGAGTGCTAGTGGCGACGAGATACCAACGGGTGTTGATACAATGGAAGTAGCTGGTAATGTGTTAAGAACTGGAGCGGCACTGTAAGTGGATATGACGGGAGCGGCAGAGAGAACGGGGGCTGGAAGTAGGGGCGCGGAACGTTTACGAATCAGGTGTGCGCTGGTCACTGCGGTGGCTGGTAGGGGAAGAGCACGAGCCGCGATCACTTCAGGGGCGCCGAGAGCAATTCCAGGTGAAGAGAGAGCTGGGGCCACCAGGGCGGGAGATGCGATGGCAGAGGTTCCCAGAACACCGGGTGCGACAATCGGTGTAGCGATGGCTGAGCTTCTGATGATAGGTGTGGCTAGCGGTGTGGCTCCTATTGTTAGAGGTGCAGCGGCGGCCACAGTGCCGACAGTGGCGACGGCTGGTGCAGCATAGGATACCACTCCGGCACCCAGAAGTCCCGAAGGTTTGGCAGCGGCCAATGCTACTGCGGATAACAACACCACCAACGAGTTCATCGTGATTTGTGATAGTTTAGAAACGAACGACGAGCGACTAAGAACGACTGATGTCTGCTGTTGATACCTTAATGTATTTATACTGCTCACAGAAGTCGTTTCCATAAGTCAAGTTCAACAAGTTTCAGGTTGTCATCATATCATAAATTTCGGCAAATCGGATCATGCAATACCTTTATAAATTTGCACCATACTGTCTATCGACAAAACGAGATAGGAAGTAAGCTTACGTGCTACTAGTATAATAAAAATGTATATACATAATGACTTAATCCATAATAATATTATAGACTAGCTATCTGCCCTCGCTTCTCATGGGCGTATTAATAAATAAAATGAGATCAAATCTTCTCTTTATGGTCTCCTTTTTCACTTTTTTTAATGAAAATTTTTTTAATCCAAATTTTTCTGTACGATTTTTAAACGTTTTCTTTAATACAATTTTATTTATTTATTTATATATCTATTTATTTAGTAAAACTTATTTTATTCTGACAATTACCTATACAATAAAAGAAGAATTAGTCAAACGGGTACAGTCATTCTTAAGTGATAAGCATACAAACATTCAACAATTGATTTTTATAATTAAAGACAACACATAGTTTGTTTTTTTATGGAAATTGATTTTTTTAAGTCACATTGCTTTATTCTGTCACGATTTTTAAATCGCTGTATTCTTTGTACATATGGGCTTACTGACCTGCCTTTTATTCTACCCTGCCTTTTCATTTATATCTCTCTCTTGTATCCCGCCAGTATATACCGCTAGTGCAGATGGGGATACCATTTCACTATCATCCATTTATTCTGACAATTACCTATACAATAAAAGAAGAATTAGTCAAATAGGTGCAGCCATTCTTAAGTGATAAGCATACAAACATTCGACAATTGATTTTTATAATTAACGACAGAACACAGAGTTTGTTTAGGGATGGTTAGTAATGGGGGATGTTAGCCCTTATTGATGGGTGAGAAGGAATTGTTAGCAATGCGGATTATCAGTCACATTGCTAATAATATACTCTATCAGGTCGACCTTCACGTGGTCCCTCCTGGAAACCATTGTGCTGAATTCTTGGAGTGTACATCACGATGGGCTTACTGATCTGTCTTTTCATCCTCACCTTGCTTTTTCATTTCATTATCCATCTCTTGTATCCCGCCAGTATATGCCGCTAGTGCAGATGGGGATACCATTCCATTATCATCCATTTATCATCCTATCAGGTCGACTTTCACGGTTGCTAAATTCGTTACGATTAACTGAGCCTTCATCCTTATGTTTTATCTAATGCGCCACGCTATTAGCATGACTGTATGCATCATTCCATTAAAAAAAAAATATGTAGATGTGAAAACGGGTTTGTTCATTATTGTTTGCTTCCAATTTTTACAACTAAATTATAGGGCATGAAGTTATAACATCATAGCTCTCAGAATTGGCAACGCATCACAGGGCACCATGAGCATCACAGTACCAAGTGATGCCCATGGTACACACATATCATGGTATACATTTTCTAAAGTCCATAGTGCTGTTCATATTTATAAGCCGTTTGTTACCACTGTACTTCAGTTGGACTGTTAGTGTTTTAAGTATAAAAAAAAATTGGCCTCATTGGTTTATAGTCATAACATAGTAATGACGAGAATTTTGGTTAAGTTATCGTAGATCTGCTGTTAATTTAAGCAATTCAGTGTGCTTTTATTATAAGATTATAATAAAATAATTTTACATAAATGTTGCAGTTTAGACGTTATTTCCCTCTTGTTGTAACTAAATAGTACTGTTTATTGTTAAACTGAAATTTCATCTCCTGACCTGAACCTAGACGAGAATCGTATAAAATAGTAAAAAAAAAAATCGAAATATTGAGGCCAACTAAGTAACAACCTGTTAATCACCAGATTAGGAATGTGTGAAACATAATAATAGGTCTTACTACTCATCGATTTATATCAAAAGCCATAGATTGGCTTATAAATCTTGATTATGCTTGCTTGTTAACCACAATCAACAATCGTGTTCAATTCATATGATTAAACATCTCCAGGCATCGCTAGTAGCATCTCACCCGCTTCGAATTTTTTCATTCGTTCAAAAATGTTCTCTATCCCTCTTTAGAGGTCTTAAAGTGACGATAAATATAGGTACAAGCAAAAACTATTTGTATATTATATTTTTCTACGTTGTGTCTGTGCTCGCACAAGACGATGACGATTACAAAAAAAAAAAAAAACTTAGTAAGACAGTTATTCACTTATACGTAGAAGATCTGTGTTGAACAGTCTCAAAATAGTATCCTATATAAATTTCATTGGTATTTACCGATTTCCTGGTTAATTACCTGACTGACTCATATTTCAAGTAATCACTCCATATAGTGGGGGATGATTCAATACTGCATTTATCGATCTGAGGTCATGAGGTAACTCATTCGTTATCAGTTCTTCTAGCCGGCCGGCTCATTGCTATTTCGAGTTACCAATCCTTCAGGCTATATGGGTCACTTTAGTTTCCCTGCGTGATTGAATCTAAAATGAGGATATGCATACTCATTTTAGATTCTATCACGTAGCAACTCCGAGCATATATTATTATGCATTAATTTGTGTCGAAGTATTGTATATAATTAACCTATTTAACATAGAAAAATAATCAATAAAACTACAGATCTTATGCAAATTTTACAAAATTTAAGCATTAGTCTATTTGCAATAAAACTAAAAAAAAAGTTATATAAAAATTTTCAAAGTATCTTAATGAACTAAAAGGTCATATAGAATGTCATGAAGATGATTTTATATACACTTTATAAAATGATATTTAAAATAGTTGTAGTATTATTAAGCTACACAGGCTTTACTAATGTGATTTAGCAATCTTATATATCTAGAATATTCCCGTGTGGTCACGGCATAGAGTAGGCTACTTCTTCTTTTCCCGTCGGTGTCGTACTCGTAAGAGGCGACTAAAGGAGGGCGAGGTATGGGCAGCAGTGTCCTTAAAACATCTTCAAAGCCTAACTGCGGTTGCCAATTCGCTTGCCAAGCATGGCAACTACTGGCAAAGTCCTTCTAGGGGAGGCTTATGTCCAGCAGTGGACAGTTAAAGGCTGATATGATGATAATGATGATATATCGATAATTCAGTTTCATTCTGCTGCTTAAGTCTCATTTAGGAATAAATCACTAAATATGTTTATTAACTTTTACATTTATGACATTAATATTGTTCAAATGCTTAGACTTTTATTAATAAATCGAATCAATCGCGTATAAAAAAATGATTTCACTAAATTCTCATTTTATAGAACATCTAGTCTAATTTTATTTATCATATTATTTATATTATAATATAAAAGTAAAAAAATGTCTATCTAAAATATAGAATATGCAATATAACATGAAATATCGCAGAGGTTCTTTTTATACGGATTCAGTAAGAAAAGAGTTTTTGACATTTCTACAGAATCGGTGAAAAACTGTTTCATTCGACCTTAGATTGACGTTATTTTCTTATCTTTGCAACTAGAGTGATATGGTACTATGATTTAATTTTTACAAAAGCAATTCAAATATTTTCATGAATACATTAAAAATTATAAGTAATTATTGTGGGATTAGTTAATTATTAAATTGAATAAGTAACTAGAAATAAAAAAATACAAAATAAATAATATATTAATTTTATTTAAAATTTATTAATAGCATTTTTGAAGTCAATAATACTATTCGGGAATTTTCCCCGTTTTCACAGCAGTTTTTACCACGCTCTGGTAATAAGAGGGGAAGAGAGTGCTAGTGGCGACGAGAGACCAATAGGTGTTGAGACAATGGAAGCAGCTGGTAATGAGGAAATAACTGGAGCGGCACTGTAGGTAGATACGACGGGAGCGGCAGATAGAACAGGTGTGGTAAGCAATGGTGCGGAACGTTTACGAATCAGGTGTGCGCTGGTCAGTGCGGTAGCTGGAAGAGGGGCGCCGAGAGCAATTCCAGGTGAAGCGAGAGCTGGGGCCACCAGGGCGGGAGATGCGAGGGCTGAGGTTCCCAAGATGCCGGGTGCGACGATCGGTGTAGCGATGGCTGAGCTCCTGATGAGAGGTGTGGCTAGCGGTGCTGCTCCTATTGCCAGAGGTGCAGCTGCAGCTACAGTCCTGACGGCAACTGGGGGAGAGTTGATGTCAATCCGAGATTGCTGTGAGACGGCAACGGGTAAAGTAGCGACGGCTGGAGCAGCGTATGATACCACTCCGGCACCCAGAAGTCCCGGTTTGGCAGCGGCCAACGCTACTGCGGATAACAACACTACCAACGAGTTCATCGTGATCTGCGATACTTCAGGTACAAATGACGAGCGAATAAGAACAACTGATGTTTGATGTTGATATCTGTGTGTATTTATACTGCTTACAGAAGTGGTTTTCGTAAATTCAAGTTCAACAAGTCTTAGGTGGTCATCGTATAATCTTTTATCAAATCGGCTCATGCAATAACTCTACAAATTTGCAACATATACGCTCAAACTAGGAAGGAAGTAATCGACTACTGTTGACGACAACAGACTTCGATCTTCACAAGAAGACACGTGTAACAAATTTCATTGATTTACAAAACTATAAATATTTATTTTAAATATTTAATTAATTCATTGGTTTACTTGAACAATTTACAGGAGCAGAATCAAAACAACTACAAGGTAAATCTAAGCCAAATAAGAAAATATGTTTAAAATCTATATAAATAAAAATTAATTGTCATATGTATGTAAGCTCATCACTTTAAAACGGCTGCATCTATTTGGTTAATTCTTTTTTGTTGTGTTTGTAATTGTCAGGACAAGGGTTATATGAAAGAAAAAAAGGAAAGATTTGGTTTTATTTTCTTCATTAGTACATCAGTGCAAAGTCAGGGCTGGCAACTAGTTCTAGATAATTCAAAGTATGTAATTAAACTATACCTACTAAACTTGTAATAAATCTATATTAGTATTATACCTTCGCCGTGTGGTCCTGGCATAGAATAGGCCATCCATTCCTTTCTTGTGGGTGTCATAACAGACTAAGGGAACTTAATGGTAGAAGGATGGAAAGCAGAGTTCCTTTTAATATATCAAAATATCACTAAAAGCCTAACTGCGTTGCCAACACGCCTGCCAAGCGTGGCAACTACTTATATATATAACCTGGAAACCTCTTATAATATTTTAAATATATATCTGGCGTTTAATAATTAAATTAGATATCATAATTCCAATAATCTGATGATACACGCGAAGACGAATTTACGTCATCCTTTTTAAATACCAAATTAGATTCTGATGAATTCAATGGATAGATTCATTGAGTTTGGCAGTTCAAACGAGGTCAGTGAGGTTAAATGGTTTTCGTTTAAAGTAAAACTTTATTAAATATTAAAACTTTTTATTATCCTTTGTTAGTTATTGTATTCGATAGATATTATATTGTTTATACAATCGTAAACGATTTTCTTTCAACCGACTTCAAAAAGAAGAAGGTTATCAATTCCATTCCATTTTTTTATATTTGTTATTTTATAGCTCCGTCAGTTGTATACCGATTTGGAATATTATTTTTTTTATATATAAAAGGCTATACTTACAGATTGGTCCGGATCGATGTAGTAGCAAAAAAAAATTATTAATTTTTTTGCTAGTAGAAGTTGGTTTTTTAGTGGAATACAATCTTAAATATGATTGAAAATGAAATGGTTTCATTGAAATTCAAATGATTTATGTTGTTGCGTTGCGGTTTGCTCCACTTAATATTTAGTGTTTGTTTTATTTCAATCAGTTCATAAATAAAAAAGTTATATTATATCATAGAAAAATAAAAAAGCTGCGCCGCCGCACCACAGGGGTCAACCCTGTGGCCAAGTCTCTCACGTCTCACGCAGCGCAGAGGGCAACGCAGCGAGGAAGGGATCACAAGGTAAGTGTGGGAGACATGGACAGATTTGTGATGTGACAGATGTATACATCAATGAATAGCACAAAAATAGATGGTTATTTAAAAAAAAAAATTACTTATATCTTCATTTACTTCATGTTTATTCCAAATTAATAAAAAAAAAAAATGGTTATCCGTCCAAAGCCGGGCCGGGCCGCTAGTTGCAAATATAGCTTGTTATTCTAACATATTTTGAATTACCAACCATCCTGACTTCCAATGGATAGAAAGGTAAAAGCATAAGTAACTTTTTTTTTCCTATATATAAAAGAATTGTTACAATCGATTAAATATTTATTAAGTTTATCCTTTATAAGTTTTTTTTTATATATTTTTTTTATACAACTTAGAATGGCAAACAAGCTGACGGCCCACCTGATGGAAAGTGGTAACCGTCGCCTATAGACATAAGCAGTATCATGGATATAACAGAGTATACTGTTTTGCCTATGATACCCCCCAATGGGTTGCCATTCCTGAGGACTCAGGTGTGATTCCTCTGTACCCAGCAAATTCACTGCCATATCCCACCCTTCAAACCGAAACACAGCGATGCAAACATAACTGCTTCACGGTTGAAATACGAATGGGACAGAGGTACCCAAGCAATCGACTTTTGTACAAAGTTTTCCTCTCCATTTTTTTTTTTAGAATATTATTTTACCTAGTTGGATAAAATTAGTAAAGAATTCGTCACCTATTTTAAAATGATAACCAATGGCAACTAACTTGAGTTTGCGTAAAAAACAAACTATAATTTTGATATTTGTCGTGGTTCGAATCGACTTTAGTTGTCTCGAATGCACGCGACCACTCGAAGTAACTCATTTGGATTTGCGTCGAGAAATGTCGGAATCGACATACTCAGAATAATGTATATTGATTTTCGCTCGAAAAATATTATCGAATTACAATTTTTGCTCGAATTCATGATTAAATCGACTTTCTTCCAAAGTCGAGTCAAATTAAAAAAGTTCGTTTCTCGTATTGGCCCTACCTAGAATTGAACTCAAAAAATGACATCATTATTTTAAAATGGTAAACGGATACTACTTTTTCCAAGTTCGATTCGTTTTACTTTTTTATTCTTTTACAAATAATTCAAAGTCAAAGTTATCAGAGAACCATAACTGAAGTCGAGTAGATGGATACGAGCAAACATTTATGTGAAATACAAGTCGAATGGCAACTTACCTTTTAACGAGTTGTATTGATTTCGGTGTGACTTTAAATATGAATAATCATCATTATCATTTTTAGCATTATTATTACTACTAGGCAAGGATCATAATATAAATAATAATAAATTAAAACAAAAGTCTTCTCTGTTATAAAGTTTTAGAAATACCAATACCCATATAAATAATATGGGTATTAAAGGAATTATAAAAAAACTATTCTTTACTAATATTTTAATCTTTATTCACTACTTATTTACAAGCCATACTGTCGTTCGCTATACCTGAACCGAGGAATAAGTTCCTCAGTTTCCGTGGTGACGCTCACCAGGGGTGTACGCTGTAGGCTTTTGTGATAAGAGGTGCTGAGAAAGCCACCGGTGCGGAGTACGTGGAGATGACTGGGGCAGCAGCCAGTGATGATACAATCGGAGCCGCACTGTAGGTGGACACAATGGGAGTGCCAATTAAAGGTGCAGAGCGTTTTTTGATCAAGTGTGCTCCAGCAAGAGCCTTAGCTTCAAAATGGGCGGCACGAGCAGCGATCACTTCAGGTGTATCGAGTGGCACAGTGGGAGCTGCAATAGCGGCGGTCTTCAAATAAGCAGGTGCGACGAAAGGTGTGGCGATGGCTGCGCTCTTGAACACAGGTGCAATAGCAGCTGCGGCTAGTAGTGCAGCGTAGGCGAGGGGTGCAGCAGCGGCCACGGTGCTGACGACGGCGGGAGAAGACTTCACATCGATGCGAGACTGAGAGGAGATGGCAGCAGGAGCGGCGTAAGCTGCTGGTGCCACGGCGTAAGCTGCAGGCTCAGCAATGACGGTGCGGGCGACGGGCGCTACGGCGGCGGTGGTCACAACAGCCGGGGATGACTTGATGTCCAAGCGGGACTGGGATGACACGGCGACGGGAGCGGCATACGCTGCTGGGGCGGCGACAAGTGCAGGTTCAGCGATGAAGGTGCGGGCAACAGGCGCTACAGCGGCTGTCGCTACCACAGCTGGGGATGACTTGATATCGATGCGGGACTGTTGTGAGACTGCAGCAGGGAAAGTAGCGACTGCCGGCGCAGCATATGAAATTACTCCGGCGTCCAGGAGTCCCGATGGATGGGCAACGGCCAACGCCACCACGGAAAACAACACCACCAGCGAATTCATCGTGGTCTGTGATAGTTCAGGTGCGAACGGCGAGTGAATAAGATTAACTGATGCTTTCTTCGGACATGCGAATGCATTTATAGCGATCGCAATTCAGTTGAAAGAAAAGTCAAGTACAACGAGATTGGTTAGTCATCGCAATAAAAGGATGGAAAGTCAAGTGGTTTTCAATGACATAACTACATATAATATCGCGAAAATAGATGGAATTATGAAATATTTATTAACTATTTAAATAATTATAATAATTGTATCACTTACGATTCCTTAATTGAAGCCATTTTTGTTTGCTCTTGTTTGCACAAACAGCCGATGAACATTCGCATTTGCAAGTATACATGTGTGACTTATATTTTTCGATCATCGTTTGATTTTCTGATTGTAAATATTAGATATGTTAATTTTCCCGCGGTTATTGATAGATATTGTATAGTGAATCTACATTAGGTACTGTACCAAATACTCTGTAGCAGGGCAAAAAATTATTCTGTAACTCGGAAACGCAAACTTGTTACCAATCGACACTACTGGCGTGCTTTTCAGAAGATATAAAGTCGCAGTTTTATTTAATTGTAGTATACTATTCTAATACTATCATTTTTGACAAGAGATTAAATATTGGAATATAGAAATTACAAAAAAAAGAAAAGAAAAAAAAAACTAACAGAACTCGAATACATAAAACAATGACACGTCAATCAGGAATCGGATATTCATTTCTTAGCTAATTTTTTTTAACAATTTGTGCTCCGTCTAATGAATGTGATGTAGTCATTATAGCGTAGTTAGTATATAAACTTACAGTCAAATTAAAAATAATTATCTGAACTGGTGTAAAATGTTATTGCATTATTGTTTTTTAAATATTTCTTACTAGCTGTATTACTTACATAAATCAATCATAAAACCTATCCGAGTACTAAATTTCATTCAAATCGGTTTAGTAGTTTTTACGTGAAAGAGTAACAAACATCCGTCTATCGTTACAAATTTTCACATTTATTATATTAATAGGATGTGGGTTTGTATGTACCTATATCAAAAGAAAGTCTGATTTATCAACATTTACCGTAGCTGTACACGTACAGGGTACATATTTCACACGTATGGAATAACAAACGTGTAAAAATTATAGATATCGTAGGTTTGATTCCTCTTATTTTTATGTAAACTCACAATACTATTTCATATTTTCTATATCGACTATAGCTAATGTAGTCGATATAGAAAATATGTAATATATAGTACATATTGACTATTACATTAATATCATACACAGCCTGTAGTGTCCCGCTGTCGAGCAAATGCTTTATATAACTGCTTCACAACAACATATATATAAGTACAAACCTTGGTTTGATTCCGCGTTAGCGTAAAAATATTTAAGTAAAAATACCCTTAATCGTCCCACAGGAACCAATTTATCGCGGAAAAAAGTTCTGTGTATATGTTAACATAGAAAAACTTGCATGTATGTACCGAATAAGTAAAAATTTTACTTTTTACTGTTTTATACAACTGTATCGTTATATTTATTGTCTTGTTTATTCGCTATACTGTATATTGCAAATAAAGTATATTTATTCACATCTTCACAAACTTGCATATTTTTTTAAAATTTAAAACGTTTATAACGTCAGTCAATAAATACTTTATTATAATTTGTAATTAGATTGATTTCTTTGTTAATTCCTTCATTGTAATCTAATTTCTTTGGTGGCATATTATTGAAGTGGTAATCGTGTTTATACCCATTTAATACGTCAACCCCTATGGGTGTATCATTTTAAGATAAGTTTTAAAATATATATTTTATGTAAGTATTTATAATGACAAGATAAAAGTCAAAGGTACATTTTAAGATGTGAAACAAATGAATGAAAAATGAGTGAAACGTCGAATAAAGAGTAGGCTAGTACATGTAGTATAGTAAATTTTAAGTCTCAATATGTAATCTTGGATTATACATATAAAGTGTCTGCATATAAATTTTTCGCCAAAATTATGTAAACTTTTTTATCCATATGTGCGTAAATAGATTCCTTTAACAGGTGAAAATGGAATGGTATCCTCGCCTACGCTATCGGTATATGCTGGCAGGACACCAGTGATAGATGATAGGTGAGGATGAAAGTAGCTCAGATAGCCCATCATGACGTTGGTATCCAGGGGGAACCGCGTAGAGGTCGACCTGATAGTATATATTGCTAGTATTGGGGCTGTTAGAACCCGTTATTAACAATCCTTTTCACCCCGCGTAAACAGGGTTACCATAATGGACATTTATTACTCAGTATCTATATGAGAAAATATTTATTTGTAATATTAAATTGCAAAAAAAAATTGATACATAATTCTAACGAATATATTTGAAACAAGTGCATAATGATCCACAGTGATGCTAATCTTTGCTGATTATTTTGATTTATATCCAAGTCATATAAGACATAAAATATATTCCTATTTTAAAATGATTGAAAATGGTCGCTATTTTAATAAATACATATATAATAATTTAACAAGGTTGACTGGTAGAATATGGTACTAGTATTAAGTCTGTCTTTTGGATCTTATTTTATTTTAGCCAATAAAGTTTTTTAAATAAAAAATAAATAAATAATTTGTAACTAATACGTACATGTGTGTATTCTTAGCTTAATATCAAAAGGAATAGGAAATTTTTAATCTTGCAACACTGAAAAATTGAGCTTTTTACTTCGATTTAAAAAATATATGTCTCTCATATGTACAAGTATATCCTTCATATCCTATAAATATTCTAGACCTGATCCTTATCCTTTCTAAATTCGTTTGTGTTAGGTATTTTTATTACTACTATCGTTTCCCCCTTTTGTTCTTGGCAAAACACCCTAATATCGGGGTGAACGCCACAAAAGAAAATAAAATGTGTCAAAATTTACTCAGCCAGATGTCAATTTGGCTAAAAAATGTTGACCTGTTTTTGACATTCGGTACTCTATCTATAACAATATTTACCTAATCAATTCTATGGATTATATCAGTTACAATTAATATAATACATAGTAGAGACGAAAAATACGAAATAAGACCTCAGAATAAAGAGACTCTCAACTAGCTTGTATTTTTAAGTAACCTTATGTTACGCGATATTTTCTTAAATTTTGTACTGTTTTTAATAATACTTTCTACGCTTAAATTTATTAAAATTATATAGTTTAAATCTGTCATATGCACAGAATATCTCGTAGTTCATCATTTGTTTTTTATAAATGCAATTTAAAATAAGAATGGTGACATTACTGGTAAACATAAATTTACTGAAAGAAGTTGATATTTTTCTACAGAAAAGAGCATACTGCGTTTTATTTTTTTATTGTAATATCATTGGGATTAACATAATAATATATTTGCAATAATAAGGCGGCATGCAGTGCATACATTTTTATACATTAATGTTATTTTCGCATAATATATCGGTGTAATTCGTACTGTCGGTATGTACTTATAAGAATCATTACTGAGAAGTTATTTTTCTGCCAGTAGGTACCTGATAAAGCAAAATGTTAAGGTTTGAACGACCTTGGACGCTTTCATGTCCGCGACATGGGCGTAGGCTTTACCTGTTATAAAATATATAGAGCTGTTGCAACAAACCTGATATGTTTCTTTGTTTGATAAACGTAACTAGGAAATTTGCAGTTGTTTATTGACACAATCCTTCCTATAAAAGTACATGAACACGTATACTCACTACAACAAACAATGACATATTTTAATGTGACTCAATTTTATTATTTGAAATTTTACTGAATATAAATGAATATATTGTTTTAATCAGTCATAAGTGTCTTTAAGATAAGTTGTTATAAATTGTTGTAAACGACTGGAATAATAAGTTTATTAAGGTCTCGTTGTTCCATTATATAAATAAAATATATACATAAGATTTAAAAATAATATAGTTATAATTTATTGAAGTGATTTTCCCTACGATTATAATATTAGGAATTAGTTAAAAAAGATTAAAACCGATCAAGTGAAAAGGGAATATTTTTATACACAACTTTGAATGGTAAACAAGTCGATTTCGAGAATTATTAACTTGTTTACAAAATATATTTACAAACGATTTAGAAATTATAGGTTAATATTTTCAATAGATATTTATTCTATGAAATCATCTATCAGTTACTTGACTATCCTGATAGGAATAGGCAGTATAATTATATACCTTATACTTATGACTGATAATGAACCACTCTTAATATATTTGTATCAGTTCATTTTATGTTCTATATAAGTGGCATGCGAAATCCGACGTTCCATATAAGGCGTCAGGCATATTGGTCAGCACCCTTTGTCGGGCGTTATATACTATGCGATGATAAATTAAAAAACAAGTACTGAACAGGTCCCATGATCGACTCAAATTACCATCTTAATAATCTTAATGGTATACACTTCTTTTTATTATTTTTACTACCTATTTAAAATGCGCATGGTAAACACATAACTACTTTTAAATGTACTATAAGGTAAATTATTTATTACTTGTTCTTCACCTCTTGTAAGTCTGTAGTACTTTATGTGACATATTGTATTACAGTCGTGTTACAATTTTTTAATTCAACGGTAATGATTGGAAAATAAACAACACAGTTTAATGCATTTTATTTATTGTTTTTCCAAACACAACGGTACAACTGTCCAACTTTTAAGAGCTAGATCTTTGTTCCTGACATTCTGATTTTCTTATCATTGTAAAATAAATATTGACTGTTGCGCATTCCGGATTAGGCCCAGGTGTTGGAGGGCTGGGGGTAGGGGCAGGTGTTTGTGCCCTCTGGGGTGGTTGCTCACCACGCGTGGGCATATGGGGAAGCTACCAAGGGTGCATGGGCAGCAACAATGGGTGCGGGCGCAGCTACCACGGCAGGTGATGCAATCTGTTTGTAATAGATTAGTTTTATCATTTATTGAATAGTAAAATATAACTATGGATTATCCAATCTATGGAGATGAAGTTAATAGCATACCAGAGGAAGACTGTATAAAAATCATATTTTTGCGCACCACTGTTCAAATCGTGTTTCTGCCATAAAGCAGCTTTACTTGCACGGTTTTGTGCTGCGTTTCTATTTTTAAAAGTGAGGTTTAGTAGTGAAATTATAGAGCACTGAGGTATAACATCTTAGTCCCAAGGAATATCCATTCGTGATGTATGCCATGACTGTTACAGTGTGTACTGTAATGTCTATGATGCTCTTCATGTCTATAGGTAATCGTTACGGTTTACTATCAGATTACTAACCAACTTGTTTGCGATTCTGTTGTATAAAAATATAGTTACATAAATTATTAAAATTTACAATAAAAAAACTACAGAAACAATTTATTTAAAGTAACATTCTAAATGTGTCTTTATCACCCTGCCATATAACTACATAGTTATTACTACATTTAGCTAGTAGTAATTATTTTATACCATTTGCATAATTTACTCGTGATAGAGTTTTATGTGACTTGTGTTGATAGGTGTATACTAATGTCTCACCTTTATCAACCAAGTAATCCGTATATTCTTTGATATCTTGTTTGTGAAGGGTAGGATGATTGAATACTAACCTACCTTTGAGACAGATTCAAATGAATGTGAGGCAAATTATGCATAAAAGTCTTGTAATTAGTGAGTTTTGTCTTACAAACCGTAATTTTATTTATTTCAATATATAAAAATTTATTAAAACCAACCTGAGTTTATCCTCACCTATCATCACTCATTATATTATTACCACTTTATTTTGATGACGACCTTAGTGGTCTAGCGGTTTACACTCTGGCTAATCTTCTGAAAGTTGCGAGTTCGATCCCTCTTATCGTCATATTTATGAATATGATTGTTTGTGTTAATCTGGGTGATTTCATGTATAATATGTGTGTTTTTAAAAAATGTGTTGTTGTATTAATTTTGTAGCATCCGTCGTAAAAATTCTATTTAGTTTGGGACTAGATGGTACTATGAAATTGGTCCATAAATAATTCTACACAAAAATTGTTTTTAAGGACGTTTCCTGACATTTAACACTCCATCTATATGTATATGATCTATCACTATATACTTACCCTGACGGTATTAGCATAGGAAGTAGCTACAGGTAAAGCGGTTTTGACTACTCCAGCGCTGACCAATGGGGCCCCGACAATGCTGTGTCCCCAGGGAGCAGCCAGGGGTGCGGCATAGGGGGCACCGATGTAACCAGGGGCAGCAGCGGCGATAGCCAGGAAGGCGGCGAATACTACCTGTAGCGTAAAATTCAAAATAATGTCAATATAAAACTACTACTAAAATAGTATAGACATATAATATCATCATCATTATCATAGCAGCATTTAACTGTCCACTGCTGAACATAAGCCTCCCCCTTGGGGGGTGGGTTTTGCCAGTGTTTGCTTGCATGCTTGGCAAGCGGGTTGGCAACCGCAGTTAGGCTTTAGAGATGTTTTAAGAGGGACGCTGCTGCCCATCCCTCGTCCCCCATTAGTCGATTTTTACGACACCTACGGGAAAGGAAGGGAGTGGTCTATTCTATGCCGGAACCTCAATATAATATATATTATACTAACTACCTGTTATTTAAATCAAATAAATGACAATCCAAGCGAGTTCGATAGATTACAAATGGTGTTGTTTGTTTATTTGAAAATATTGTACACAAAAAAGAAGGAATGATTAAAATATTGAATGGTGAACTTTTTCCTGGAAGGAATATTTTACTGTCAAACTAGAAAGTACGGCAAGAAATTCCCATTGGGACAGTATAAAAAGATTGTATTAAAATATAAAGTGAGAAAAGTTTGTATTCTGTTAAATAATAATAGCAACTCAAATTATCATATTTAAATATATATATTTATATCTACGTATGTGAATTTATATGCCATTTTTATCTATACTATTGCTTTGTAATTATCTTGATATGAGTACACGTGTGTTACATTCATTCGTAGAGCAATTTCTTTCATCTTTAAAGGTTAGAAAGATGTCTTTTTAGAAATAATTTCGCCTTTGTACTTTAGCATTATCACATAATATATGTAAGATTTTTTTTGTACAATAAATAAAAAATACACAAATACTATCAATACCACTAAATATAGCAGCTATTTTATTAAAACTATATAAGTACGTTTTACCTATTTCAAATCGACATAACAATGAAATACTAGAATAAATAATTCCAGGAAAATGCCCACGTCACATAATGAAAGTGGACGTTTAGTAAATATGGGGTATTTGTTGTTTTGTCTACCACCTCTAAGGACATTTGTAGGACATTCATTAGTTCACCAGTCTATATCTAGATCTAGGTATTACAATCTAATAAAACCGGTCCACAGACAATCGTGTCTCTAGCATTCGAATACTTGACACGAATTCATTTCATCTATAGGTAGATTTGTTTGTTTTAATATCGCTTCGGTTGACTTTTTATATGATTGATTGCTATATTAGCGCTAGCTGACACTAAAAGGAGTTACTAAATGTAATGGATAAAAAAGAGATCTGAACTTGACATTTTAGAAGCTACTGTCAACTGGTTTTGTAAATATTAATTTCGTTCATTGTAATGTCAAAGTCAATAATTATTAGCTCATATGCGCTTTTCTTGATTCATATTTGTTGTATGTGTTTTATGAGACATTTCTATCAGTACTGAATCGATTTGGTTTATTCATTTTGTAATAAAATAATTTTCTCCCGTGTTGATTTATGAAAAAAAATACTTGAATGATTTTCATAAAAAAATAAAATAAAATAATGAATTAAAGTTAAAGAAATTTTGGACAGTAACATACTTTAGTTATACAACTTAATTAATCAATAACAACGGTTTCTCTATTAATATAATAATAGAGAGATAATAGAGAATAACTTTATATAATTTTGTTGTTAGTTTTACAAAGAAATTCTTATTAATATTATAAATGTGAAAGTGCGTTTGTTTGTTTGTTATCTTATAGCTCTTAAATCGCTTAACCAATCACTATGAAATTTGGTATATACGTACTATTTGAGATAGAGAAGAATACAAGCTACTTTTTAACCCGGTCTATAAATATATTCTAGTTACGTGGACAAAGTCGCGGGTAAGAGCTAGTAGATAATATATTTCTTTTGTGGTGTAGGTTTAATTAAATTTCCGAGAACACCTATGGATGTATTTATCCGTATAAATAGATTTTTAGTTGTATTGTATTTTAATTTAGAGTCGTTTACTTTATTTTGATTCTAGAATGCTTTAAGTATTAAAAAGTACACATATTTTTTTTATATATTTATTTACATTATTTACATATTTATTTAAAAAAAATTGACCAAATAAGATCTTATATATATGATCTGTGATAGTATCAAAACGGATTTGATGCTAATAGTATAAATATCTCTCAACACATAATATTAAAGACTTTACATAAACAATATATAAACTAAATTGTACACAAGCGGCTTTAATTTTACAGAGGAATTGTGCATTATTAATCGCACAAGATCGCATTATTTGCATACAGTAATGGTAAAAAGCGTGATTTATTGTGGAACGGATGGTAACTATAGTGTGACCTCGGGAGGTCGTTGTCGCTGTGGAGAATGTCAGGCAGTGATAAAAACGAGAAACTAAAAATAGGTAATGCTCTACAATTACACTTCAAAAAACAGCTAGTCTGCAAAAATATGCCCGCAAATGGATAAAACATGGCACATACAGTACATATATTATACAAGTTGAAATGGAAATAGATAGTATCTTTTTAAGAAAGTATTCTGTTGTTAGTGAAACTGAATATCTCCATTAACCGGTTTTTTTAAGGATGAAGATGGAATAATGCATGTTTATGCTAAAGGTAGGTATACAATGACAGAGCACCAATGAAGAATGCAATGATGAGGATGAAGTCAGATCAGTTGTGTCGAATTTACTAGAGATTAATCACAATGGTTTATAGGGGTGGCCGCGTGGAGGTCGAGGTATAATATACCATATTGCTAGCAACAGTGATTAACTTTCTCATCATTAATAATCCCTTTCCTTTGAAGAAACAAGTTGAAAACCAACAAAATTTTTGAGACTTATAATTAAGTATGTTAAATAAATTCCAATTGGTCCCGGCGTGAAATAAGTCCTCCCAAAGGAAGGAGTCCTTTCCCGTGGGTATCATAAGAGGTGACTTAGGGCACTTAAAGGTCGAGGAATGGGCAGCAGTGTCCTATATAAAACATCTCTAAAAACCTAACTGCGGCTGCCAACCCGCCTCCCAAGCGTCACAACTACTGGGAAAACCCCCTTATAGGGGAGGCTATGTTCAGCAGTGGAAAGTTAATGACTGATATGATACTGATGAAGTTAAATAATCAATCAAATAAGAATGGTAGAATCAAAAATTATTTGTGATTTTTCTACTAGTTTTTCTTGCAGATAAATGTTTAATTCAAATACTAGTGATATCGATTTCATCTGTAGACATAGGAATATCACGCTAGTCATACATCGGAATAGGGAGAAATAATAGAACGCGTTACGCTCCAATTCAGACCTCTTTCGCCTCTTCCACATTCAAAAAACATGATATATCGACATAATAAATTTTGTCAACTAACTATTAAATAACGTTTGTTATCGATAGAGTTTTGTAGATATGTTATTGTCATGTACTAATATCAAGTCTCGGTTTTGCACAGTTTATTGAAAACAAAATACAACGTATGTTAGTCGAAAAGAACTGACTTGAAACTACGTTGGTTTTATCTATGACATGGTTTCGTCTTGTGTGGTACTATTTTATATTCAACTTTGGTCATGTCTATAGGCGACGGTTACCACTTTCCATCAGGTGGGCCGTCACCTTGTTTGCCATTTAAAGTTTCTTAAAAATGGTCCATTGTTTTTACTATTTTTTATCACCCATTTTTAATCGGGTACGCTATTTGTTTGTTGTGTTCTATTACTAGTTAAAGATAGCCCATAGTAAAGGTTACTGAATTAAATACGTAATAAATTTATTTTTAATTAAAAAAAAATCATTTTACAATAAAAATTTGCTGTAATCGTAACCAAATATGGTTCGAAACCATGACGGGAAGATTCTACAATCTTGCAAAAAAATTATCGAAACTTGTGTTATGCAGAATGGATGGATATAAAAAAAAAAATGAATTTACCATTCTGAAGTCGAAGAAATTTATAAGTCCAAACTAAATGCTGTCATGAATTGATGTATTTGATTTGTGAATTGAATTGGTATTTCATTTTAAATAGACAAAGATAATGTCAATTTTGAAATTTTCTTTGGAATCACCATAATGAAATATTGAATCCAAACATTACGTAAAATTACTTAGATAAATTCTTATTTCATATTTGAAAGCAACACAAAATTTTGATAAACAGGTGGCTAAACGTGTTTAGACGAATACATCTATATGTTATAATATGTTGTAATAATATTTAACCACTTAGACGGACTTTTGTTAACACTAGCGTATCGGCCCGCCTTCTCACGGATAGATAGAACACTCGAAAATAATATATAACTCGTGCTACTCGCTAAAAGGGCGAGCACAAAAAATCATGGAAAGATAATTTAAAATCGGTTGAGTAGTTTTTAAGTTTATCTTTTATACAGAAACAATCAATTTTTCCTGTTTATAATATATAAATATAGTGTAGATAAAATATAATTGAGAGATATTAAAATAAAACAAAAAGAGCCAATAAAAAGAAAGGAGAAAATACTCTTACCAGCTTGTACATTTTGAAGGGAGGGTGTTGGGTGGCTTGAGGTGAAGAAGTGTGGATATAGGAGCGAATGTGCATTGGGCCCGTTAAGTGTGCCTTTTATAGTGCATAGACACATGGCTCGGCCAAATCCGTCTAACCCTACCTACCAGGCCCTAGGTCGTTTGTGTCAGCCTTCAGGTGTGTACCGTCAGCAAATACAAGAATACTGATAAAAATATTGAAGATTCTTCAGCAATATTACAGCCTATACAATTCTAATAATTCTAGAAGTGTAACAAATTTCTTGTATGAATTTACAAATTATTTAAATAAATATGACAAGTTAAAACGACATGTAATTATTATGTACTAATATGTAATGTATACTATTCGAATACTGAGTAATAACGATGTATATATATTTAAAAGCAATGAATTTAGAGAAAAATATCTGAACATGATTGTATTTTATTTATTAAAAAAGATATATAACTGAATCAAGAAGATTATTCGAATATTAATACCAGTTGTATAATATTGCAATAATTAACCGATATGTAATGAAATGTAATAATAGGTTGGACTTGTATATATTTACTTATAGAACATTATTGCAGTTGTATGATGAATATTATTCAAACAACTATTGTGGGCGCTTTGAGTTAACTATATTCAATAGTTTGCTCTCAGCAGTTATATGTTACAAACTCTTGGTTTACAATTTACTGCGAATTAGCAATATTAAATAAATATTACATCATTGCCAAGGAAATAAATGTGCATTTAAATTAATTGGAAGGTCAATTCTATCATAAAGACATATATAATTACGGATTTCAACAATCTACCATGATTTTAGGTTCAGGAGACATTATTATAAGTAGATATATTAAGTATCGAAATAACAAAGTTCATGTATTGTCGATAAGCAGGTATTAAATATATTTTGTTTCTATGTAGTCAAATCCTATTTAGTTATTTGGATATATCGTATATCGATATATTAACAATACGTTCGATATTTCAACTCTCTTAAAAAGTTGTAAATCGTTTTGAAATCGACGGTATTTTCTTACATATTTTGTGGTTTCTTCAATTCTGAAACGATTTTGATGTTTCATAATTTTTTTCGCAATGGATAGGGTTTATTCTCATAATAATTATGCCAAGATTGAAATTGACTTTTTATTGAGCAGAAACGTAAATTGTCTCTACTATAACTCCTGTAACTGCATTATGTAGTGAAGGTAGCTTCGATCTATTGAATCGACAACGAGTTAGTCCTATGTGTGTTTTTTACAACTTTCCATGGTTTCATTATTAGAAGTATGTTGGTTTATTATTATTATTGATACAGTCAGGCAGTTCGATACTCTTATTATATTCTTGCCTTGAAAAGTCGTAATGAAAATAATAGTATCGAGTTAAATAGATTTTATGCAATTTAAAAGTATCTACCTATATACGAAATAATATTTAATTAGATTTGATGATAAAAAGAAGCTTCATTTATAATACTTAGATTTAATATTAGGTCGCCGTTTATACCCAAGACTATTGTTATTCATAATTATAACAACAGTAAATAGGTCAATACATGTGTCAAAATATAAGATGAAAAATTTATATGCAGTTAATGTGACAGTATACTTTATATATTCCCATTGGATAAAAACGACATTCTTGGCGTACATGTTTTTGTTGATCATTATTTTATCAGGGTGTAAAATAAAGGGTCGTTTGAGCCTGGCATAGAATGCGCCACCACTTCCTTTCCTGTGAATGTCGTAAGAGGTGATTAAGAGAACTTAATGGTCAAAGGATGGGTAGAAGTGTCCCTCCTAAAATATTATCAAAGCTTAACTGCGATTGCCAACCCGCCTGCCAAGCGTGGCAACTACAGGCAAAACCCCTTTACGAGGAAGGCCTATGTTTGGCAGTACACAGTAACAGTGGATAGTTAACGAGTGATATAATAATAATAAATATTGTATAACTCTAATTAAAATTATCAAGAAATATTAAAATGTAATCTTTATTTCTTTTATTAAGTATATTTCTCTGCTACATTACGTGTTTATTCAAGATTCAACTACGATTCATTGTGATTGAAAACTTAAAAGAAGATGGAGGAAACTGAGTGTCAAAAGCGATGTAGAAATGAGGAGCGTCATCCTTATATACATCTCAATAATGACGTATGTCGCCCAAATAGGCGACGTGCTGAAGAAGGGTTAAATTAAAAGTACCCAAAATCGACGAGCGTGTATGAATAGACTGATTATTGTGGAGTAAGCGATGAGTATTCAGCATTAAATGTTTTTACGTGTCCCAATTTACGAGCTATATATATATATATATACACATACAGACAATTTAAATTGACGTTTGAATATTTGAGTAGGTATAATATTCTGTGTTAAGATGTCCAATGAAAACGTATGCGATTATTTGTATTTTTTGTATTTAAATACTTTATAATTAAATAATGTATAAAGAGATATAATATTAACTAACGGTACAATATACTTGATAGTTAAGACGTATTTTTCAATTATACAATATTAACACGCTATACATTACATATGTGTGTGTTTGTATATATACACTGTATAGCCACTTTGATCAGTTTTGATACATTAAAAGTATAATTTATGATTGAAACCAGTTTACTCACGATCACAAACAATAAAATAAAAACAATAGTAGACTTACTTATTTATTTTATTTTATTTTTTTTCTAGTCGTCTGTTTTTATTGGTCTATTCTCTCGTGTTGGATACTGAATTAGTAGCGTAGGTACAAGAAAATAAATAACAAAATTGAAAGTATGAAATAAAGAAATACTAATTACAACAAATTAAAATAAACAAACATAAAAAATTGCGTTTATTTTGCAAACTACACTTTTAATGACAAGAATTTTATAAATTTTAATAACAGTCAAGGTATATGAGGAGTAAAAAATAAATAATTGCAATACCCACACATATAATGTCATAATGGCAATGTTTCTATTAGAATTCTTGGAGAGACAACGAAGTAGAAAAGATAAAATTGTAAATACCGAGAATTATTTTTCCTATTTACTTTTTATTTGATATAATGAAATGTTCCAAATATTTAATATTTTTATAAAAAATATAAACTTTTGCATTATGTAGTAAGTATTTACTGTTAAACTATAATAAACTTTATTTAATGGTTATATTTTTAATAAGAGTTTAAAGACGTATATAAATATTCACTGAATTTAAATTGTTACAAACCTATGTAATTGAATTGATTAGCCTACATTTGCAGCGAACGTGGAATTAAAATATTTTGGTAGCAATGTATTTTGGTAATTTAATTATAATTCATAAATTTGTTGCATAAATAGATGGAAAAAGTATTTGGAAATAATTTTTATAGCGTAAACTTGTTTTATTATAAGTACAATACGTCAGATTCTCTTATGAACTTATGTAAATAATCGGTATTGAGTAATTAATAATAATAGATTTTAATTACGTAATTTGTTTTATACAATAAACAGTTATACTACTCATTCTAGTTTATAACATGAATTTAAATAATATATTAATAAGTATATAACATCAAATAAATGAAGTAGCAAAAAGGCAGTTGTTTTCTATCAAATACATATAAATATTGGGACAATTTATTGTTATTTATATTTACATAAACATTAAATGACTGGTCACACTCGTTGGGTATCTGTAGCTTATTATGTATTTACATACAAATTGTACTCATTTTGTACGTACCCATTTGGACAGGTACCTATTTGGGCATGTCCATTAATTATGTTCCGTATGTATTCTGATGGATCAACAGCTATATAATGTCAAAAATTATGTAAAAAATTAAGGTGTTACCATTATAATAAATATTAGTACTTAAGTAGAAATGTTAGAAGTAAAAAGTAAGTACGTAGTAGTTATAGAGTTAGCCTTTCAGTGTATTTTGGTACTCATTAAAAATCGAATTTTGCCTCGAGGGGCACTAACCAGTACTTGAATACTTGTAATTTAGTAATAAAGATAAAAATAATATAGTGATAAAACAGAAATATAAAAAATCCTATAAATACGCGATTAGTATTCGAATCATATAAGATCTCTAAACCTATATTCGAATTCGAATGCGAAAACGATGTATCCGAATTCTGTATATTGGGATTTCGACTGTCAAAGTGCCTATTAGATATTCGAGTCAATACTCAAATCAGCTTGACGCGGCACATCATTTGTAAAAAGAAAAGATATTCTATCAAGAATTTTGCTGCAGAGAAAATAGAGATTTCAATCGTTAAGTAATGTGCTACAAGAGTGCAAAAATAATTATCAAATCGTTTAATGTACTTAAACAAATTGCACTTGAAACCTCATCGTTTGGAAATCAGTATACTTGCACTGCAGCTTACTTTTAGAGAATTTAAAATTGTATTTTAAACGAGTGATCATAACTATTCAATCCACGTACATGTATCTAATTTATTGACTAAAATTTATTTCTCTTTACATGAAAATTGTCCAGCTGTCTTACACGAGCGCAGTAAACCAGGGCAGGGCGTTTTCAATGACATTATTATATTACTATAGTGCTTAGAACGCTGGTCAGCTGACTTATTAGCCTATTTTGTAATGACACCGACATAGGCGTAGATCTAGATTACGTTCATATGACACACATGTGTGTTAGTGACTCAAAATTATATCGTATTTCTAGATAATATAATTATTGGTTGTTTATTTAAATAAACCTCTGTTATTGTAAGCCATGAATTTTCTACTATATTAGTACAGATTATTATATTTTGGTAGGATCATAGTCGTTTTATTTTCATCTATTTTCTCTTACTATACCTATTAATTAAATAATTTGGGGATGTATTTTATTGTAATAAGTGGTTTAAAATATAAATACTTAAAATTAGAAAATTAAAAAATAAATTTAATAATACTTATTTATCCAATCCAATAACCTATATAAAAACATTTATTTTAGGGTTTGATTTATTTTATTCACTGTTATTTCGTTAAAAAGAAATATAGTTTTTTATTAAACATACTAATTTAGAAAAAAGAGAGTAAATATATTATTTAAAGTTATTGTATAATTTATTCTA